CAACCCAACCGCAACCCAACCGCAACCCAACCGCAACCCAACCGCAACCCAACCCTACCGCAAAGTTATTCGGAATTTACAAACACACTGGCGATTAGCAAGATTTAAACCAGCGTAATGGCCGCTTGCCTACGTAATGAGGGCTGCGCATATCTTCCCGCCAAACCGAGTGAGAGTACTGATTCTGAAGCGATCTTTCTAATAAAATTTTTCCGAAATGTTTATACCTAATAACCGCACGGGAACTGTTTAAACGAACAGGCAATCGGTCCTACCCCCGACCGGTCCGCCGCGCCGTTCTAAAACTAGTTTCGCACGTGTTTATTTCTCACATATTTGATTTACGATCCCCGAATGGGTTTCTCTCGGATTTTACTGAAACGCCATTGGAGGACTTAAAACCGTTCCCGTGCGGTTATTATAAACATTTCGGAAAAATTTTATTAGAAAGATCGCTTTAGAATAATGTATCCTACAACCGTATAATGCTCTGATGCGGAAGATACGGGACACCTTTATATACCGTGATTATAGTTAGAACGATTATTCCAGAGATCGCCCAAGCAAATCTTAAGATAAAATTGTCAGTAACAATGTTTTCAACCCAACCATAGACCGCAACCCAACCCAACCCAACCCCGATCCCCCGAATTCCAATTTAAAAGTATTAAATTAAAAAGCTATTTTAACTATTAAATAAGTTCATAAATGTACCTGTCATTTTATTTTTCTTAATTTTTGTCGTAAATGATGAGTAAATCGCAAATTAAATAAATATATTTAAAATTAATTCAAAAAATGTTATCAACTGTTATTTTCGACAAGAACCATTGAAACATCAATGAAAGTAAAGAGGAAGAACAACAACTTGAAATTCATTCTGTATTCATTTTGATACGAATCTATATCTCTCAAGATCTCTTTATATATCAAGAAAATGTTAAAACCTGAAGAATTAAAACAAGAAAAACCACAAGAATTAACTTTATGTTTATTTTCTACATATTGATTAGATAAAGATCAGAAAATTGTATAATTGCAAGTGCATAGAAGTTTTGTGACTATGGTTACTGCATTCGTATACTGCAAGTTATATGAAATTCCCGGTATGTAAGTTAATTCCAATTACTTCGCATTAACATAATTGCATTGTTATTCTGTGATATTCCTAAAGATATTTTAAGTAGACAAAAAAAACATTAATATACATACAAAACTTTTATTTCAAAAATTATTCCTTAATATCTAAATAACATAATTTCAAATATTTTATTGCAAATCCTTATCAGCAATTTTAAGTGAAACGTAGTTATTGAAATGTTTAACCTTCAATTTACCCCAAACAACATAATTAGATAACCCCACCATTTGCGCTGCATTCAAAGCCGCTGCTTCAGGATACATAACCGTAGAGCAACCTAAACCCGAAGGAACATTCAAACTTGACCAAACGTCCATCCCAACATTATCAGTTTTAACAGGGGGGCAATTAATAACCGGTTGAGAACTATTTCCCGATACAACAGGTCCTAATCCGTTTGATCGACCAGCCACAGCGATGAATATTGTTTTTAAAGGTAGCGATTCATAGTATCGAACAATTTTTAACGTTTCTTCAGTGCCTTTATGAGCGGAAGTGATTCGCATTTCAACGTTTAAACCAAGAGATTCACATGCGGTTTTAATTTTTGAACAAAAATCTTTATCGGAAGGACTTCCCATTAAAATTGCAATTAAATGATCGTTTATTGGAGTTAAATGTTGTAATTGTTCGCTGATCCATTCAAAGTTACGTTTAACGGTATCTAAATCGGATTGGGTTACAGTGCTTAAGTTTCTATAAACTTGTTTATCGACCATTAATCGTTTATCTCCCGAAGGCCATAATCTCCACGAATCGGAATCGATGATATCAGCCAATAAAATTTCACCTTAAAGAAGTTAACTTTAATTAATTTATTTAAAATATTTTTTTTGATATTACCTTTTTCATCAACACCAAACTCAATTTTCATATCAATTAAAGCACAATTTCTTGTAGCCCAAGCTTTTTCTAAAACTTCGAAAACCAAAATACTCATTCTTTGCATAATATCAACCTCAACGGCTCCAATTTCTTTCCCATGGAATTTAAATTTTGCTGAAATAATTTGTTCTTCAGACCATTGCGGATCATGATTGGCATCATCTTTAAAGAAAGTTTCATGTTTTGGCGGATAAAAACGATATCCTTCGGGTACACCCGTGTTTCTTCGCAAAAATGAGCCAGTTGCTAAACGTCGAGTAACCCATTCAATCGGGATCATCTCGCATTTTTTCGCTATAAATGAGTTTTCGCTTGCTAATTTTACGAAGGCTGTTTTAATACCAACTTGATTTAATATTTCAAAAACTTTAGCGTTGGTTTTATTTGAAATTGCAGCTTTTCCAAGTAGTTCGTGGGATTTTACACCATCCCCGGCGGTTATACGATCTTTACTTACTAAGATGCAGTGCCCGGGCATTGAGGGTAAATCAAAAACTTGTTTCGTTTTACCCTCGATAATTAAATTACCCAATTTCATTCCAGCCACTATTAAAGAAAAAAAACATTTTTAATTTAATTTGAAGGTTATTTTTTTTTTGACAGATTAACAAAAAATCTAACCTCACTTTGTTTTATTTCTAATAATTTAAAATAAAGGTTAAATTTCTTACCTTCTGTAGGGGTCATCTTCTTGATTTATTAAAACAAAGTTGTTGAATTAAAGAAAATCGACGTAGTAACAAGAATAAAGTCGAAAACGAAAACACGGTTTATAAGCCGGGTTTTTTTATCGAAAATTTAGCGCATGCGCATCAATTGGGTTAACGTGATGCAACAAGTAGGAAATAAACACGAATGGAAGAAAACATATTTGTCGCTAAGGAGATGTTTCGTTATCTACAAATAATATTTAAAAGCAGAAAAAGAAATAATAATTAAAAATACATTAAAAAATCTATGTCGTAATGAGATCAGGCGGTTCAACGTGACGTTCGCTACTTTTAAATCGTTGGGGGGGCATCACGTGCTCATTTAAAACCAAATATTAAACGCGTACGATTCAATTGAATAAGATTTAACGCGAGGAAAATAAGTCTTTTAAATTATTTAATAATTAATTAATTAAAAGTTTTAATTGTGAATTTATTTAAATATTAGATCGTACCTATATTCAGGTGAGTTAAAAATTGCGGGAAATTTAAAATTAATTTTTAATTTTTTTAAAGTTATTTAATAGATAATGTGCGAACCGAATAAACTAATGATTAGGGATGATAAAAAGAATCTCTTCGATGATGAATCTTTTAAATTGGATAAGAGGTACAATCGGGGGGTTTCCCAATCGGGGTTAACACACGAATGTGGTGTTTTTGGGTGCATTGCTGTTAATGATTGGCCTACGCAGCTGGAAATATCGCAAATTATTTGCTGGGGGTTGGTTGCACTACAACATAGGTAAGATATTAGTTAAATAAGATGAATTAATTATAAAATTAAAAAAAAATTCTTAAGAAACGATATTGATAAGAATTCTGATGAAATACTCCAACAAACAGTATAAGAAAAACAACTAATCACTCATCTATAATTTAACACTTAAATCATCATTAGTAAATGGAACTTTTCTGGTATTTGTTTAATAAAAACTTAAAATTTAGAGGTCAAGAATCAGCTGGAATTGTAACAAGCGAAGGAACAAGTCGACACTCATTCAATGTATGCAAAGGAATGGGAATGATTAATAATATATTTAACGATGAAGCTATAAGAAAATTAAAAGGAAATTTGGGAATCGGCCACACTAGATATTCAACAAGCGCCGCTTCCGAAGAAGTTAATTGTCAGCCATTCGTTGTACACACCGCACATGGTGCATTAGCCGTTGCTCATAATGGAGAATTGGTAAACTGCGATAGTTTAAGACAAATGGTTTTAGCACGAGGTGTCGGACTCTCAACACACTCCGACAGCGAATTAATCACCCAAGCGTTGTGTTTAAATCCACCAGAAGGTGAAACCGATGGTCCAGATTGGCCAGCTCGCATAAAACATTTAATGCAATTAGCTCCATTGAGTTACTCTTTGGTTATTATGCTTAAAGATAAAATTTACGCCGTTAGAGATCCTTATGGGAATAGACCCTTGTGTCTAGGGAAAATCTTACCGATGAATGAACGTAAGTTCACTTATTAAAATTCTATTTTAAAAATTAGTTGTTATTAAAAAACCAGTTCAAATGGGTCAATTGATTGCATCTTTAATGCATCTTTTGTTGTTTATCTCGATGATTTCTCAAGTGCGTAATGTTTACTTGACGTTTTCTACTTTAAATTGATAGGGATTAAAAGGTCACGTTCGTATTGCGATATTTTGATTGATAATTAACCTTGAATAAGATCATTTTATTTCTTCTAAAAGTTTTTCTAAATTGTTTATAATTTTGACAGGTGTCAAATTTTTTGTTGGTTATTATTACCAACATAATTTTTTTTTATATTATAACCTAAAAAAATTTTTTTTTTTTTAGCTCTCGATGGAGAATGTGATGAAACAAGTAACGCTGAAGGTTGGGTTGTTGCGTCAGAATCATGCGGATTCCTTTCAATCGGGGCCCAATACGTCCGGGAGGTATATCCAGGGGAAATTATCGAAATGACTCGAGAAGGAATCAAAACAATCGACATTGTAGCTCGACCCGGAGATAAAGCACAAGCTTTTTGCATCTTTGAATATGTTTACTTCGCGCGATCCGATAGTATTTTTGAGGGTCAAATGGTTTATGCTGTAAGAATGCAATGTGGGAAGCAATTAGCGATCGAACATCCTGTTGAGGCAGATATAGTTAGTTCGGTGCCGGAATCGGGAACGGCTGCTGCTCACGGGTTTTCAAGGCAAACGGGAATTTCTTTTGCTGAAGTTCTTTGTAAAAATCGATATGTAGGACGATCGTTTATCCAACCAAGTAATCGATTAAGACAATTAGCTGTTGCTAAAAAATTCGGAGCTCTCAGCGAAAATTGTAAAGGAAAAAGAATCATTTTAATCGATGATTCTATAGTTCGGGGAAACACCATTGGACCGATTATTAAGTTATTAAGAAATGCCGGTGCTAAAGAGGTTCATATTAGAATTGCGAGCCCCCCTTTACTATTCCCGTGTTATATGGGAATTAATATTCCAACTCGGGAGGAATTAATCGCCAACAGATTAACACCGAAAGAATTGGCGGTTCACGTTGGGGCAAATTCTTTGGAATATTTAAGTGTCGAAGGATTAATAAAAGCCGTTAAGTGGGATTTAAAAAGTAAGGGGTCCGCAAAAATTGGTCATTGCACTGCATGTTTAACGGGAGAATACCCAGGGGGTGTCCCCGCACCTTTAGAATGGTGAATCATTCAAACAATATATTTATTTTATCTTTACTATGTAAATAAATAAATAAACGTGGATTTTTAAATAAAATTTATTATCAATTCCACCTTATTAACAAAACAGAAATTAACATAATGAGCAAATAAATTTAATATAAAAAAACTCTAAGAAAAAACTTAACAACACACGTTTATTTATTCATCCTATATAAATAAATACTGACTTAATCTGCTTTAAAATATTAAAATCCGAATTAATTAAAAAAAAAATGAAATGACTAGATTTTAAATAAATTAATTAATAATTACAACTCCGGTGATGGACTGCAACTTGTCGCTTGTAATCTTTGGATGATGTTGTTCAATTGAGCGTGATTATGACCACTGTAGGAGAGCAAAGTATTTCCATGCGTCGTGGTAACACAACCTTCGCAATTTAACGTTTTTTGCTTTACGCAAATCCAGGTACTTTTCGTTTCACGCCGATGACTCAACGTGTACATGTGGCCGCTATGAATCAAAACGGGATGACCGCGACGACTTTTTAAAAAATACAAACTACCTGAAAAGACAAACAAAATAAATAAAACAATTTTAAATGTTTTAAATTTTAAATGAATAATAAAAAGTAAAGTAAAACACTTAAATATCTCATTTATTTATATATAATAATCCGTGTTTGGAATGAAAATATGTTTTACACAATCATAATTTTGACTTATCGAGAAATAATAAGTTAAAACGTGCCCTAACCTCTACGAAATAGAATAAAGCTGATATTATAACTATAATAAACGAAATAATACATGTTATTGTTTAAACTTAAAATATTTAAATTTGAAAATGATCATAATCAGTCTTAAACAAAATAATCAAAATTAAAAAAAAAAAAAAACTATTTTACATTTGCACGGAGATTCACAAAATTTTTCAAATAAACATAACCTCCAATTAATTTCAATTTAAGTTAATGTGGCCCTATAAAGAACATCTCTTAATTGTTGAATTGGTACAAAATGATCATCCTCTGGGTTATAATCGGAGATGGGTGGATGGCTGTGCCTTTGAGGCCACTTGACGATGTCACCATTTCGCGTCCAACATGTTGCGGGACACCGGTACTTGGCGTTACGGTTCAATTTGCAGTACCAGAAGCCTTTCGCTTTATAGGAGCTCTTCTTGATAAATGAGTGGCCATCGACGATCAGCCGTGGGTTGCCTCGCCTGCCCACCACGCACTGTAGAGTGCCTGCGGACAAAACCATTTTGATTTCAATTAAAGTTACTAAAAAATTTTTAAAATTGGTGGAGATGCAGCGAGCAACCCTACGACTTTTTAATAAAAAACAATTTAATGATTTAGCTTTCGTACTGCATATTTAACCGTCACTTTCTTTTTAAAATTACAAAGGAGGCCCTCACCTGGACTTGACGTATCCATATTTTGCTTTATCCCGGAACAACTAGCTGCCGTTGAAAAATTAGGTTTAAAATCGGAAGTTTCCCCTAAACTTGTATCAATCATCGAACTAACATCCATCGAATCATCGTAAGCATCACTAAAATCTTCATCGATCGGTTCTTGTTTAGGTGTCACCACATCAAGATTACTTTCTGAAGCGCTAACCGGCGTTTCAATTCGGGGCTGTTTTGCAGGAGATTGAGGCGTTATCGGAGATCGTACCATCGGGGGAGATTTTATTGGGAGATTAGGTTCGATGGGACGAAGATGTTGAATGGGTTTGATTATTTTTTTAACCATCGATTTACGTTTTAAATATTGCTTTGAATCTGTGGGATCAAATTTATGATTTGAATCTAATCCATTTGTTTCCTATTAAACAAAACATTAAATGTTGTTGAATTAATTTGTATTTAATATTTACCTTATTATTAGCGTTTTCACTTAATCCTTTGATTTTTAAAACGTCCGCTACCCTCATAAACATGGGTATTTCTTCTTGGCTAACACTAACCTCACCCTGATACATGAATTCGAGTAAACTTTGCAGTGCCGTGTATTTAACATCTTGTAAAATAACTATTGGGTGATCACATGGGTTAACTCGAAATAGTTCTTTAAAATACGGACTGCACACGGAAAGTACCGTTTTATGGGCTTTCAAGTACTTCCCTTCCGCTGCCAGTGTTACATCAACGAGGTCTTCATCCCTAAGCAAAGTATGAAAGCCTGAACTTAAGTTGTTGTGGAAATTGTTCCAACACAACGAGAATTGTTCACTTTCCATCGTTTCTCCTTCGGGTAACCTCAAATTGAACAAGCGGAAGTTGGTGCTATAGACGCGTTAATGCGTTCTGAATGCGATTCCGGTGTGGTTTCATAGAACGCGGGCGGCTTTTTAAGTAATCCGAGATGGTTTGCAAGCAAAACAGTAAAATGGTGGACGATGTTGTCTAAAAATGACAGCTAAATTAAATTATTTACCGATAGATGGCGCTAAAATATTTTACTTAAATCCAATTTAATTTTTCAAATTTCATTAATATTGTGTGATTTATTTCGAAATTGGTGATAAATAATTATTAAAAACATAATTTTTTAACTCAAATTAAATAATTAAAATAATTTACCGATAGATGGATCAAGTAGTTTTAATAATCGCTGAAAGTTACTTATTAGTCTTATTACATATTAAATTTGTTTATTATTAAACAATAAAATAAAAAACAAAATTAATTAAATAAATTAAATGAAATAATTAAAAACAACTTTAATGTATTCAAAAAGAAAAAATCAAAACAGGTCCCACCGAGATTTGAACTCGGATCGCTGGATTCAGAGTCCAGAGTGCTAACCATTACACCATGGGACCGCTCTTAATGCCAACCCTTAAAAAACAGCCTTTAAAGAAAATAATCCCATAAATAACTAAAAACTTTTAATTTTAATAGTTATTTATGAAACAGTGTGTGAAGTTAGCTTTTTGCGCACGAACGCGATGTTTAGATATCGCGTGAGCAACATTTTTGTACAAGCCTTTTGACATGAACCAACAGATACATTTGTTTGTGCTGATAAGCATCATAAAGATTTCTGGGGGCCTGCTTCCATTCTTTCACGAATTTCTTTAACGATATCTTCTGTAAGAACTATAGACCGGCAAGTAGATTTTCCTTTACAAACCGAAGACATTCCTCTAAATCTTTTGATTATACGCCGCACATGTTGAATAAAGGAATCAGAAATAACGTTGACTTCAGGAAAGTCCTCTTGAAATTGCCGATGGCAACGTTGGTACGAATAATTCCAAATTCCTTCTTCATTGCGTATTCCCGGAAATAAGCTTCAACAATGAATCGATTGTGTAGCAGATTGTGTAGCTGGGCAGAAAGACCCTGGTCGGTAGCCCTATTCTACCCCGTATATTGTATGTATATATATGTATAAATGTATTATTTATTCTCTTATTCTCTTATTTATTTTATGTACTAAGGGTTCAGAATAAAATTTGTTTTCTCTCTCACGATTGTGTAAATCGGTGAAAGCCACGTTTAACCCAAAAACGTACATATTCCAATTATTTACTCATGTTATTGGTTACCTATGACAAATACGCGCAATTCAGGTGGCAACAAAAAATGCCTGTTATGATAATAAATATCCAATTATAAGAAAAAATATGAAACATAAACCAAAGCAAGAAACCAACGTTTTTTGTCAAATGTTACTAAAACACAAGCGCACCAAATTCAAACGAATTACAATCATTGTTGAACGCTCTGTATATTATTTTAAAGTGTTTACATTTAAAATGTAAAATTAAATCATAAACATAACCATAAAATTCTTGGGTTGATATTATTTAGGAATTATTTATAAATTAAACAAACAAAGGAAAAGGTGGTTATTGTAATAAAGTTAACGAGTTTTTGGCGTGAGTACAAAATGAAATTAACTCCGTTTAATTAAAACGTTTTCAATAAGCATAGTGGATGAGAAATATCATGAGAAAGTCCAATTACATTTCTTTGAATAGGAATTATAATCGATAAAGGGTATAAAAGGTTCAACTTTTTAATTAAGTTTTAGTTCCATTACAGTTTCAGAACTGAAAACGAAATACGTTAAAAAAATGTATGGGATGCTTTTAGAAAGTATCCAACATTTCATACAATTAGAATATGGGGAAGAGATGTGGTTTAAAGTGGTTGAAATGGCTGGGTGTAAACACTCCGTTTTTAACACACACCAAGTTTATCCAGACTCTGTAATGGAAAAGTTAGCGTTAAGTTGTGCAAAAGTAACTAGCGCCACCAGCGATAATTTTATGAATTTTTTCGGCCGCTGTTTCGTCCGGTACTTTTCTAATTTAGGTTACGATATCACCATAAGAAGTACTGGGCGCTATTTCACCGATTTTTTGCAAAGTGTCGATAATATTCATTCGCAATTCTGTTTTACTTACCCTAAAATGAAAAGCCCTTCGATTTACGTCACTGATATCGATAATGATGGTTGCGTTTTGGTTTATCGAAGTGGCAGGCAAGGATTTACGCATTACGTTATGGGTAATTACAGAAAACTGTAATTTCAAAATAAATAAAAGATTAAGTCGGTATCACTTTTTAGGTTTACTGCAACAAATTGCAAAAGATTTTTTTCATCTTAAATTAAAATTAAGCGTTATGGAACGGATTAGTTCAGCAAATGGGTCTAGAAATATGATCGTCGTTAAATATCGATTAGATTTCGACAATTCCGAATACGTAATAATTTTTTTTTTTTTAATTTAAATAAATAAAAATATTTTTTAGATGTTGGATAAATTCCGGAAGGAAGAACATTTAGAAACAACTCAATTATCGACATTTCCAGCTTACATTCTTTTAGAATTATTCCCTTTTGCGATCTTAATTAATAAAGAAATGAAAATTATGGCCGCGGGAGAGAAAATAACGGAAGTATGGAACGGGAAACAAAACATTTTGGGGTTATCAGTTTCAAAATATTTTCGTTTACGACGCCCTAAAGGAGTTCCATTTACATTTCAAAACGTAAATAACTTTTTTTAAATTTATTTTGAGGTTGTATGTATGTAGTTTCATGTGGGGTTGAATTCCTTCACAGCACTTAGGCCCGAGCGGGTCCTTTGTACATCCCCACAAGTTACAGTTCATTCAGGGGTCAGAAAATCTACCCAAGGTTTATTGAACGTTAATATAGAAGAGAAGCGTATGTTCTTTATTTCCGAAATTTGGAGCTTTGGGGATTTCTCTTTCCAAAGTTAGTGTAATTGTTCCTAAGATGGCGTAAGCCTTCGCAGAAAAAGTAGTTAATTGATCTGGCAAGTCAATCTGGTAGTAATCTTCAATCTCCAATGAAGGGACTTAAATCCCACATGAAACAGTTTTCGACTCTTGAACCAATGAACAGTCCGTATATATGCAATGTGCATCCGGCCATGTATTGCTCAATCTCCTTACCTACCACACTAATCATTCCACCGTTTGATCTTAAGCATTTATATGATCCGGGGACAAATGTTATCATCGGTACCAACATTCTGACGTTATATTCATATGGTGTGCATGTCACGTATTTATTTTCTGTATAAATTTGGGATAGCAGACTTGAGTTTTGAGTAGATTTTAGCAATCAACGCGCAATTCTTTGTCAACGGCCGTGAGCAGAAGATTTGCGAAATCCTATCAACTGTGTTGATCACTAGACAATCGATTATACTAAGACTTCTAATCAGAAATGTAGTACACACACAACAGTCTTGCTCTAACTTCAATGGATGTTTCACCTGCTTCAATCGTTAACGCGTCATTTCGGTGCCAAGCTCAATAATTAAAATCCCTAACTTAATTTTAATCAATAAATCAATTTTTTAGACTCTTTACCTTCGAAAAGTAATGTATGAAATCGAATTCATTCGAAACCCGCAAGTTTTAGAAGAAGAAGAGTTCAAAAATAGTTTTGACGAACAAAAAGAATCCGAGACAACTAAAAACGTTGGTTCAAGAAATATTTTATTAAAAGGTCAAATGAAATACATCGAAGATATTGATGCTATTGTATTTTTATGTAGCCCAATGTAAGATTTATAGTTTCAAATTGATTTATTTTAATTATATTTTTTCGTAGAATAAATGATCTGGATGAGTTACCGGAACAAGGTTTGTACTTAAACGATTTAAATAATCACGGTTTGAGTAAAGAGATGGTTTTGGCCGGATGGCAACACAATTCAAAGTTAGAAATGATGTTTGATGCCGCCGAAAACAAAGCGGATGAATTATCTAAAAGTTATGAACTATTAGACGCCTGGAAACGTAAAGGAGACGATTTATTATATTCGATGATACCGAAAACGGTTGCGGATCGTTTAAGAAAAGGAGAATCACCTTTAAGTACATGCGAAGTAATTACTATTTAGTCCCATACTTTAATTATGTCCCATCTTTTAACCATTTTTAGTCATTTAATTCGGTAACTATTTTATTTGGAGAACTCGTTGGGTTTAATTATTCAACGGTGGAGGATGCAATGGGAGTTGTTTCGCATATGAACGCGATTTTCAGTGGTTTTGATGAGCTTATGGATAAATTTCATGTTTATAAAGTAAGGTCATGTTGGTTTGGTGGCCTATCTTGCATTAAAATGATTTTTTTAGGTTGAAACTGTTGGACAGGTGTATATGGCCGTTTCCGGTGCACCGGAAGTTGATAAAAATCATGCAATAAACGTTGCAAACGTTTCCATTGCGATGTTAAAAAAAATCAAAGAAATTTTAGGGAATTCTAGTAATGTGGACGTTCGAATTGGTTTGTATGAATTTACAAAAAAAATACTGAATTTAGTTTATTAATCTTGATAGGAATTCATTCAGGATCTGCTGTAGCCGGAGTTGTTGGGTTAAAAGTTCCTAGATATTGCTTTTTTGGTGATAGCGTTAACACAGCTTCAAGAATGCAATCTACAAGTTTGGTAAAAGAAATTTAACTTGCTTAAATAAATTTAAAATGAACTTTATTTAAGCCTGGTAAAATAAATATATCAAAAACTACAAAAGAATTGTTATCGAACGAGAAATACTCAACGGAAAAACGAGGAATGGTTAAAGTTAAAGGAAAAGGTGAAATGGAAACCTTCTGGTTATTAGAGATTATTAAATAAATAAAACGAGTTTCGAATTAATTTAAATTAATTAATTTCGTCATAAATAAATAAAAAATTACTGGCAATAACACGAACCTTTGGTATTACTTTCAATCCAAGTAATATACCTGTTGACGCGAGTATAAACACCAGGATAATCTTTCAATGCGCATCCTTCACCCCAAGAAACAATCCCTAAAAGATAACCTTTAAAAAACACCCCAAACACACGAATCTTTTTATTATTATTACCAACTACTTCATGTCTACGTCCTTCGGGTACATGAAGCGGTCCCCCACTATCACCTTGACAAGAATCTTTCATCCCTTTGGGATATCCGGCACACAACATATTCTCAGTAATTCTGTCGCGATTATACGCTGTACTTCTACATTCATTTAATGATAAAATCGGAACTTTCACTTCTCGGAGTTTATTTGAAACTGAACCGTGAGATTCGGTTGCACCCCAACCCACAACGGTGCCTAAAAATTAGGTTAAAATATTTTTTAATTTTTATTTAAGTATTTATAACTCACCAATTTTCCCTGTAAATGTTTCACCCCTTCTCGGCAAACAAACCGGTCTTAATAAATCCCCAAAAGCAACTCTTTCATCTAATTTTAACAAAGCGATATCGTTATTGTAGGTTGTTCCAACATTGTAATTTGAGTGTTTAAAAATCGTTTGAACACCCCTTGTTATTATATCAGATTCGGACGTTGTTGAGCGATCGTGATCGAGTAAAATCACTTTTAAACGTTCTTTAGAGAAACCGGTTACGCAATGTGATGCTGTTAAAATATATTGGTCGTTTATTAGTGAACCGCCGCAATAAAAACGGCCGTTATAAGTTAAATAAGCTACCCATGGGTAAGCATTAACTTGTGTTACTACTCCACCGACGATTCTTGTATGTTTATAATTTATTCCACAACCTAAAAAATCAGTTTTTAATTTTACAATGTAGATTATTTGTTGTTTTCTTCCACCGGTTGAGTTTTGGAGTTCGAATTTAAGTTAATTTAAGTTAAGATTTTTTATGAAATGTCCAAGTGAAAGGTGATGTTTTTCTGCAATTTTATCGAAAATGTAATGAAACGAATTTGAATACAAAGATTAGAATAAAAAGTAAATAGTCCAAATTTGAAAATTTACGAAGTGTGAATTCAAATTTGAAATTAAAATAAAAATTCATAACTATTTAATGTAAGATTGGTTGCCTACACTAATTAAAAATTCAATTTTTTTGAAACTCACTACACGGTTCACATTTAACACCTTCTGTACTTGTATTAATTATTTCCCCTGGTTTTTGAGTAGTATTTGGATTATTTGGTTTAAATAATCCCAAAACCCATTCGACTAAATTTTTATCTTTATCGAAAGTTGCAGCTTCCGGTGGTTCAACCCCTTCGGGATAATCTTCCGGTTTAGTTTGATTCCGAATTGGTTTTGTGATATTAATAAATTGGGATTCAACCAAAACTTGTCCGGCTTCATACGACGGGTTAATTTTATCGCCGATAAACCACCTTGACGGCCTTAAACTGGAAGTAGTCCAACCTGGAGGAACTCCAGGTTCATGATGGACCACCAAAGAAGTTGGAATCGGACGTTTCGTTGTCCCGAAAAAAAACTTTGCATATTCAACCTTAATAAAAAAAAATAAAATAAAAGAAATATATAATTTTTTTATTTTGGTTATTTGTTACCTGAGTGTTAACCTTGAATAGAGTCCCGATGAAGAGCAAGATGTATAAAGAGAGCCTCATGATGATGATGATCTCGAATGTGCTAACGATGAAGAAGTGGTTTCGTCGGTTTTGTTACCGGAGATTAAAACCACTTCTGTTAAAACATAACAACGGAACTAAACGAACCGGAGGACAAATCGCGACGATCACGGCAACGGAGACTCTCGAACAGGAAATTAAGTAGGTAAATAGGTAAAGCCAGAAAGCGTTTGGTAAAGCGCGTGGGACGTTCTGTGACGATTTTTAAATGTATACAAAAAATCTAGGTCCTTTAAAATTTAAATACTCACATTAATACTTATATATTAATAAATAAACTTATTTTCGATATCTGTTTTAAGTTGTTAAATTTCAAATTAAATTATTATATGATAATTTGCTAATTTCATTTTGACAATGACTAATGTTAATTAACTTTCAAATTAAAAGTGAAAATTTAAATGTCAAAAAATTTGTTACCAACATAAACTTAGTGTTTTTTGTTTAATCAACGTAACATCATTTTGACATGTCGCAAGTTTTAAAACTTTTTTAAAGAACTAAAATAAAAATATAATGTTAATATAAACAAAAAACATACCAGAAATCAGGTAACACCAGGGAACAAGGCTGATTATAGAAGGAACTGTCAAAATTTTAAAAAATGATAAAGACTAACTTAGACCATACATGGGACAAAAAGTGTAAAGAACTAGACACATACTTAGGAGGATCGCAAGCGTAAATGGCTTGGAGCCTAGTACGATCCTTAAAAACAAAAAGAATGAAAAATTAAATATACCACTCATATTTGTATCAGTATGGAAACAACATTATGCCAAAGACCTCAGTTGATAACACAAACCCCAAAAACACATAGAGTAGAAAGCCCTGCGGTAGAACTTTTACTTCTGCGTTCCTAACGTTCCTATACCTATACCTACCAAGGAGATAATGTCCAAAACTCATTTAGATTTAGGTTAGAAATGAGCATTAACGAAGAAGGACATCAATTTAAAAATATTAAATTAAAAAACTATGTTTATTTTCAAATAAGTTCAATATTAAGACTCACCAGGTTAAGAGAAAAATCATACACACCAGTGAGCTGATCGACTGGTTTATTACCCAACCGGCAATAAAGGAGCGGCTCCTAGTAAGGGTAGTCTCGGTCCACGGTACCATAAATTTAACTGTCATTTCATTTTCGTTAATTTTTGTCCTAAATAATAAATAAATCGCATTTTTTTGCTGCGAATTTACTTTTCGATGACTCCCACATCATATGGTATAGGAATCGTTAAAAAATAGAACCATAAATTTCGTCATTTTTGCAAATTATTCGCAAACCGTGCAATAAACAATTTATTTGACATGATCACCACCTGGCCATGTAGGGTGGCTTAATATGTACATCTCGAATTTGGAGTTTCTATCTTGAAATTTAGACGTCAAAAAAGTCTATACGAAAACCGATGGGACATCTGTATAATAACGAGATAATTCTAAAACCCAGAAAAAATAATCTCCACTTAGATTATTACAGCATGTAATTTTAGTTCCTGTCTGTTTCAAAATCGAAGTAATAAGCGTAAAATTAGATAATAAAGGTATGATACAATAAATATGGCTATTTTATTACAAAGAGAAAATTACAACAAATCAGTTTCAATACGATTATATCGGGATAAAAATAAATTTGGAACATTTTTATTATTAAATTTAAAAAATTGATAGGTCCTAAATTAAATGTCACATATGTATTTGAGGTTAATGTCTATTAAATAGAAATAATTTACATTTTATGTAAACTCAAGTGTAAATATTAAATTTAGCGGTCCAATGTCAGATAAGTGGGCTAAATTGCGAAATAATCACCTTGTGTGCATCAAAGGGCAGGTGATTTTACCATTTTTTTATAGGTTAACAAGATAACGAATGCAAATAATTATTAAAAGATGACCTTACCGCGGGTCGCCCCATATTTATTAATTAAATAAATTTAAAGGTCACATCCTACTAAATATTTAAAATTATATGCATAATCATAAAACGTCAAAATTTCAAAAAAATTTCCATCATACTCAGTTTATTTTTATTTGGGGCGCTTTTATTATAATGTTTTGTTTATAAATTGAAAAAAAGCTCATAAATCATTATCAAATTAGGTTACGTCGCAGCTTTTTCAATCGACGGTTACGCCATCTGTACCCAATTTTCCAAGTGCACAACCTCCATCTCGACGATTGCGTAAATGTGTCATTTTAGTAGTGCACACAATCCTAACCTTGAATTGGCCCCGGAAAAATCGTCCCAAGGCATCCTCCCACCCCAGCAACCACAATTTAACCATGGAAATTCGTAAAACAATTCACAATTTACAGGTAAGTACGATTAGTATAAAAGAACATCAACGCTTGTTTTTTATTATCAGGTTAATGCTAACGTTTTTTATAAAAACATAACCTTACTTTTATAAAAAGTTACTTAAATTATAAAAAAAGATGTTGTCACGAGTCATTTTTACCGTTTTTGTGGTGATTTTCGTTTGTGAAGGGGTCCCACTTAAGGTATTGTTAACATTTTTTTAAAAAATTTAAAAAAATTCTTTTTTTGATATTTTAGAATATCATCAGATCAAAAAGAAACACTTTTAACGAATTTGGTTTCAACTACGATTGCGATTGTAGTAAGTTTCAACGACTTAAAATTTTTTTTCGTTCATTCATATTTCAATGTGTCATTGTCAACTTGTAAATCACATAACCTTAAACTAAAAAACAATTCAAAGCCTACGTGATCCTTTGAATCAATCATTTTTCAATGTCGACCCACTTCACGTCAAAAAAATTACCAACCTAAAATTTAAAAATATATTTCATTTAGAATGCGGTGTTACCAATCGTCAAATGAGAGTGGTTAACGGCGAACAATCCCGACCGCACGAATTTCCATGGTTGGTAGGACTGTATAGACGCGGCGAATATTATTGTGGCGGCGCTTTGATCACTTCCAAACATATTTTAACAGCGGCTCATTGCGTAAAAGGGTAAATTATAATAATTGTAGTAATTTTAAATTAACTGTTATTGGTTTTAGATTTAACGTGAAAGATATATCGGTTGTTTTGGGAGATCACGATCGCGAAGAAACAAACAGATTGTCCACTATTGAAGTAAGAAATGCAAAAAAGATGAAACCACACGAAAGATATGATAGTAATAGTTTTAATAATGATATTGCGTTAATTGAATTAGATGGAAATGTTGAGTATGGTGATAAAATTCAAAGTATTTGCTTACCGATGACCGGTTAGGAAAAAAAATGTTGACGTTTAACATAGCCTCAAATTAAAATGTTTTTTTATAGATTCTGGAGATTATTCTGGCCTTCCAGGAGTTGTTGCAGGTTGGGGGCGACTTGGTGAAAATATGGATACTTCAAGAACAGTAAAAAAAGCGATTGTTCCGATATGGGCTCAAAGTGATTGCTACAATTCGGGATATGGTGAACAAAAATTATCCGAAAATATGTTTTGTGCTGGATACATTGATGGGAAATCGGATGCTTGTCGAGTAAATCATCAAATAATAATTAAAAATTGAATTAATATACATATTTCAATTTTAGGGTGATAGTGGTGGTCCATTGAACGTAAAAACGCCTTTAGGATATACTGAGGTTATTGGAATTGTTTCTTGGGGTCGAGGATGCGCCAGACCAAATCTACCAGGGATTTACACAAAAGTTATTAATTATTTAGACTGGATTGGCGATAATATCAAAGGAGAATGCGTTTGTCCCCCACCACAAGGGAAAAGGGGTCAATTTTAATTGATTATGGGGGTTAAATTGAAACTAGTCATTACCAAATGTTCTACATATAGTTTTATATATGTTTACTTTAATTTATTCATATAAATAAAAAGTAATTTATAGTCAATTAAACTGAAAAGCCTTTCTATGAATGCGACCGAATTGGCCAATTAAGCATGTCGGGCGCCATCTAGTGTTCTATATAAAAGACGACGCGTTGCCGAAACGCCTTCATTTCTCCTTCAAGGTTACTTTCTTCTTGACGAAGTCACAGAGTTTCTGATCCAGTGAGAGTTTGAAATCGGCAAAGTGAAAACACCTGTGATAATAAACAATACTTGACAATAACAAATTTGTTTTCTAAATAAAAATTTAAGATTTAATTCAAAAATTTTTAAATGAAAAGTGAAACGATGATTTTTTTGTTGGTGTTAGTGATTCCGGTCAGTTGTACTAGTCAAAGTGAAAATAACCGAGAGGTGAGGTGAATTTAAAATTAGTTACAAAAAAAATAACCTCTTATTTTAAGAAAATTGGAAAGTTTTCTCCCAAAAAGTAAAAAAATCTCTATTTTTCTAGACCCATTTATCCAACACAATCTACAACATTTCCACAAATCGAACGGGAAAGTTTCTTTTTAACGACCTCTTCAATTTAGCATCAACTTTAACGGGCGCTGCACCGTCGATTGATGACGAAGAAGATTACAGCGAAGATGATGGTTTTAAAGGAAAAAATTGCAGTTGCGGTTGTAAAATTTTTCTTAAATAAACTATTTCTTAAATGCTTTTTTGTAATTCGCGATGTAAGCTATTACAGTACTCAAACGGGTGCTGTAATAAGACTCCTTACATCATCGGATGCTGTAATGAGATTTTAGTAACATTTTATGGAACCAGTTCAAGTTGGTGACATTTAGTCATTAGTTTCTCTAGTTATCAATGTGACAATGTTTGTCTATGGATGTTTAAACACGTTCTTAGCATCGAATGCAAGGTCCACAATAATGAGGACATTGAACTCTGAGCAATTTCTCTTATTTTGGGAGGTGTATATGAAACATTTTTGTCGGGTGAATACATTTTGTGTTTTGACAGTTTCTAATTGTCAATTCAAATTTCTATTTTCAAGTGTTACCAACTGCTACATACCTATTTCCCTACATTGTCATTTTGTCCATTTATTTTATTTTTGAGAAAAAAAAAAGAATAAAAACGCGAATTACAAAAAATCGCATAAAAAACATGTTTCATAAGACTTAAAGCATTCATTCATTAAAAAACTCGTTAAAAACCTAATAGACTGCCTAAGTCGGATGTAACAGAGGTGGGCGGAGCTTATACTGACTCCAAACAATTTCGTTGCTAACCACAGTTGCTAAGATAAATCGCCAAAAAATGTCATTTGAAATGTCATCACTTAGTTTATTTTATTTTAACACTAATGGAAAATTGCATATGGTGATTTACCGTTACGTAAAACGCCTCACCTAAAATGACCAGTTTCAAATTGCAATAACGTTTGAACGTATTGCTCGATTTGAATAAGGTTTTTTTTATTTGAAAGGTCTACTTTTTGCCAATATTTCTCTTTTCAATTTCAGTAATGATGAATAACGCTAATGCGTGTTTTCTTCCTACACGTTAAAGCTTGCTGTGGGTTACACCAACAAAAGAAATTAATTTTAAACACAAGGAGCTCTTAGTTTCGTCTGTTCTGATCACTTCTGTTTTTTGTTAAAGTTGCTATTGTTGTTAACACCAAAGTTACAAGCTCTAAAGGATAACGCAGCTTCGAGAGAGCGTTTAGAGAAGAGCAGGAGAACGTTATGCTCAGTGCAAAGTCTCTGAAAGGGTACAATACCAGGGAGGATCTGTAATGGTTTGGGGGGGCATCCACTTCGAAGCACGTGGCTCGGTATATTGTAGACATTTTTGGCTGAACACGTGGTTTCCTTCGGTCCATTTACTGGTGACAACTGCTTCTTCATGCACGATAATTCACGTACAGACCGCATAGTGTCCCAATACCTTGATAATTTGGATATCAGCAGAATGGAATGGCCTGCACGTAGCCCTGATTTAAACCCTATAGAACACATGTGGGATATGCTAGGGAAACGAGTTAGAGCCCGTGGTGCCGCTATACAAACGCTAGATGATCTTCGAATAGCGCTAGAAGAAGAGTGAAACCAGATTCCCCGAAATGACCTGATTCGAATTATGTCTTGAAAGATGAGGGATACCATTCAAACGAGGGTAGGAAATACGCGTTATTAACATTTTGTTTGATTTTCTTGTCACAGTGTGGTCTACCCTTTGCCAATATTTCAAATAAAAAAAATCTTATTCAAATCGAGCAATACGTTCAAAAGTTATTGCACGTTCATCATTTTAGGTGATGCGTTTTTTATGAAGCTGAGCGTATTTTGATCGAATTTTATCTTAAAATTTTATTATTTTTTTTTAGAATGTGGTTTTTCAAATCAAGAAAATAGAATCGTTGGTGGTCGTCCGACCGGTGTAAACAAGTACCCTTGGATAGCCAGGTTGATGTACCAGGGTCATTACCACTGCGGAGCCTCGTTATTGAGTGAAGATTACGTTCTGACTGCCGCGCATTGCGTTAGAAAGTGAGAACGAACGACATAAAAAAGAACTTTCCCTTTGAGGACAAATAAAAACGATAAATTTTTTTTAAGATTAAAACGAAGTCAGATAAAAATCGTTTTGGGGGATCACGATTTAACGACGACAAACGAAACGATGGCTAAAATGCGATCGGTTGCCGCTATAATAAAACATCGAAATTTCGATTCGAACTCTTACAATCACGATATAGCGTTGTTAAAGTTACGAAAATCGGTTGTTTTTACGAAAAATATTAAACCGATTTGTTTGCCAGGAAGTAAAATTTAAAGAAATTTTTTTAATATTTCCATTAACAATTTTTTTGTAGATCTAAATGATCCCTCGGGTAAAACGGGAACTGTTATAGGTTGGGGTCGAACCGCAGAAGGTGGCGGATTACCCTCGGTTGTTCAAGAAGTCCAAGTTCCGATTTTAACGCAACAACAATGTCGAGCAATGAAGTATAGATCATCAAGAATTACGAATTACATGTTATGCGCGGGTCGGGGATCCCACGATTCTTGCCAAGGAGATTCGGGTGGGCCTTTAATCATCAATAATGGGGAAAGATATGAAATTGCTGGTAAGAAACAATTCTTTCTTATGTAAAAGTTTGATTTCACTTTAAAATTAAATTTTAATGAGAGAAAGTTATCGTAAATTGTACCGAGGAAATTGATTTCTAAAATAAAATTAAAATTAATAATAATAAAATTAAATTTTTTTAATAATTCATTTTTGACATTCGATTTTTATGTCGATTTACGAAATAGGATACGTTCTTTAATCAATTTAATTTGATTTTAATTTATGGCTAACTTCACTTTGATTTTGATTTTATTGACATTCACTGATTAAAAAAGAAAAATTTTAGGTATTGTTTCATGGGGTGTCGGTTGTGGTAGACCTGGTTACCCGGGAGTTTACACCAGGGTTGGCAAATATATAAATTGGTTAAAATATAATTTAGAAGATAGTTGTTTGTGTTCATAATTAAAAAAAATATATTAATTTATTATTATACATACATAGATTATTTGTTACCTTTATAATAAAAAAAAATAAATCTTTTCGACGTTGTTTTGTACTCATAATGAATAAAAAAGTGTTTTAGAAACTAAAAGGTTAAATAAAACAGTCGATAAAAAGAGGATTTAAAAAAACCGAAAACCAGTCATCTTTTAGTGGCAATTATGTTTCAGGTGACCTTTACGTCGTCAAAATTTTGAAAGTCAACCAGTCATTGACTTTTCTATTTGTTTTCATAGATTTATTTACAAAAAAAATCCCCCAACAAAAATTTCTTTATTTAAATCAAAAGTTATTAAGACAAAGTTTCAACTTCATAATTAAAAAGTAAAACGGTGCAATGTACTTTCGTGTTATGGCCATCGTGTTTCAAGTTCAAGTTCGACGTAAAGAGTGGCAACAGTGGTTTCGAGACGTCGTTGTCGCCTTCGTCTTCTTGTTCGCATCGTCTTTAAGCAGAATTTAACAAATAGCCGGACCAGTTTTTCACTTCAGTGTCAACTGGAACGTTAACAACAAAGCCTCGCGTGCAAATCAATTTACTCAATTCAATAAAAAAAATTGTTTCACAAAAAATAATTGTGCCACCATGGAGATATGGAAGATTTTGTATTTACTTTTTGGAACGTTTACACTTTTAACAGAACGAATCGTAAGTATTCCATAATTTTTAATGTTTTTAAATTAAACTCTTCGCTTCCTTGCGTCTTTTTGTGGTGGTTATCGACGAAAAAGAACCGTTAGGTATTTCTTTATATAGGTTGTTGTTTTAAATAACCGTTGGATCCGATTTGGATTGAGTGAGTAATCTTCATATATTTTATTTTATTTTCATTGGAGCCTTTATGTTTTTAAAAAAATTAAAATTTTATTTATTTCTAGGTTGCCCAAATTAAACCACAACAAAACCCAACTTTTCTTCGTTTAGGTTCTTTCGGAAATCAACCACCACCACGTCATGATACACCAGCCTCATCTTGTGACTGTTGTAAGTATTAAAATTTTGACTTTTCTCGTTGTCATTTTAAACGTCACAAATGTCATTGTGATGTTTAAATCTCAAAACCTTTCTGCATGAGATTTTATTAAGAACACTGTTGGAGCGGATTGAAACTTGTAGGACCCGTGTGACGATGGCAACAAACTTTTACCCGTTATTTCCTATCTACTTTCTTAGCTGATATTTGCCTTATTATTAGAGATAGCGAAAAACTAAACGCACCATTTGAAATAATTCTCTCTGTTTAAAACCGGGGTTTCGTCTGTCCATAAGTTGACACTAAGATCAATAAAAAATGAAGAATACCGCTCTGTACTTAAAATAGCTCAAAATTACCAAACTTCAAACCCTTGTGCAATTGTTATCAAACCGAATTTTAAAATACTGTTATCACAGTCGGATAACTCCAGGTTTTCGTCGCTTAATGTCTATCGGCGTCATGCTTAAATCACCCTTAATATACATCCCTACACGTAGAAACGCTTAATTGCACTTCCTCTAAATAACTTTCTTATGTGAGGAGGAAAACTATAGAAGTATATCTATCTTGTCTAAAATTTTCTGCTCTTTCTCATGATGTATAACACGCCGCGATCACGCACTTGCACAAGCACGCTTTTGGTCAAAAACTACTAAATTCACACATTTTAGCCACTTTTAAATCTTGTTCGGGTCGATAACTTTCTTATATGACCAGGACAAAACTCTAGAACCATATCTATCTTATCGAACATTTTCTGCTCTTTCTAATGGCGTATAACGTGTGAGTTACTAAATTCACTCGTTTTTGACCAAAAGCGTGCTTGTGTAAGTGCGCGATCGCCGCGTGTTACACATCATTAGACAGAGCAGAAAGTTTTAGATAAGATAGATATACTTCTATAGTTTTTCTCCAATCACATAAATAAATTGTTTAGAAGATCGGTTCCTACAAGTTTCAATCCGTTCCAACAGCGCAGCGTTGACGAATTGTACGCGCTCACGAACGCGTGCACGACCGAACATGCAAATGAACGAGTCAAATTTGTGCGGTTCAAACAAACCTATTAAAATAGCTGATATTCAACACAGCTGATCAAAATGTAACGTCACACGAATCTAGGAAACATCAATTAATTTAAACAAAAATTGTAAATAAATTAATCATTATTTTAGCATGCGGAATAGTTAATGATGATCAAAGAATCGTCGGAGGACACACCGTAAAAGAAAATGCTTACCCATGGATGGCTAGATTATCATATTTTAATCGTTTTTATTGCGGTGGAATGCTTATAAACGATCGTTATGTTTTAACAGCAGCACACTGCGTCAAAGGGTAATTAAACCAACAAAAATTAAACAATTTTTAATCATCTTCATCTTCTTATCGTTAGATTCCTTTGGTTTTTAATAAAAGTAACCTTCGGAGAGCACGATAGATGCAACGACAACGACCGACCAGAAACCAGATTCGTTTTGCGAGCAATCGCTGGAGCTTTTAGTTTCTTAAATTTCGATAACGATATCGCTTTATTGCGGTTAAACGATCGCGTTCCAATCACGAAAAAAATCTCCCCGATTTGTCTTCCAAAATCGAAAGATAACCTTTACGTTGGGTACAAAGCGACGGCGGCCGGTTGGGGGACGTTAAAAGAAGAAGGAAAGCCATCGTGCTTATTACAAGAAGTTGAAGTGCCCGTAATCAGCAACGAAGAGTGCAGGATGACGAATTACAGTACGAAAATGATTTCGGATAATATGATGTGCGCTGGTTATCCAAAAACGGGGCAAAAAGATTCTTGTCAAGGTGATAGTGGAGGGCCTTTGATTACAAAACGACAAGACGGAAGTAGTATGTTCGAATTAATCGGTGTTGTTTCATGGGGTAATGGATGTGCAAGACCCGGTTATCCAGGCGTTTACACGCGGGTTACGCGCTATTTAGATTGGATATTGGAAAATTCGAAAGACGGGTGCTTTTGTGAAGATTAAAATTTAATTGTGATTGTATATTGTTATTAAGATAACGTAATAATAATGGATAATAATAATAATAATAAAGTGCTCACTCCAAATGTATACTCACCTTGAATTTTTTTTTCTTTCCCAAAAACCTGTTTCAAGGTGAAAATATTTAGTGTTTAGACGAACATCGACCCGAAAGAAACGTTCGTTATCCGATATGTGTAAAATAAACGTTTTTCTTCCAATTTTATTAACATTCTTTACGGTAAAAACAGCATAACCTCATTTTTTTTATTAAATTTGGTTTTTTCTAGTTTTCCACCGGAATATTTGATTTTTTATTCCCTAAATGTGTATGCAGTAAGTACTTAAAACGAAATCGTTAAAATTAACTTTATAATTAATAAAATGTAATTAATTAAAACTGTACTGTTCAGTAAACTACAACGCCATCTCTCGTTAAATCATCTAGGTTGTGGGACAACCCGGGAAAATCGAATTTTGGGTGGTCAACCAAATCAAAATGAATTTCCATGGATTGCGCAATTAATAGCGCCACAAAAAATTATTTCGGGGACATTAATAAACGATAAATACATAATAACATCGGCTAGTTTAGTTATAGGGTATTTAAACAATCACACCTAACCTCAATTTTTCATTTTGAATCATTTTTTTAGATTAACGCCTTATGATGTAAAAGTAACTCTCGGTTTTTTCGATCGGTGCACTCCGGAATCCCACACAACAAATTTTAGCGTTACTTCTATCATTATTCATCGAGATTTTAGCACAACCAACAAAATAAACGATTTATCACTCGTAAAATTGAACACCGATGTGAAATTAGATAATTATCCAACAGTTTGTCTTACTAGTAAATTCGAAAATTTTGATGGAATTGGAATTGTTTTGGGATGGAATAATAACGGTAATACAAACGGATTAGGTTATTGTAAAAGATTAAAATTAAAATTGCCGATTTTAACGTTTTTTGAATGTTTTTCAACGACAAAACGCGAATATTTCACGTCGGATAAAGGTTGTGTTGGTATTATTGGAGCGATTAGTGGTGTTTGCAAGGTTAGCGAGAAGTTTAAAAATTATCCTTTTTAATAATTAAAATTTTTAGAATGATGCTGGAGGTGGTGTTGTGGTAAAAAATAAACATGGATCTTATGAGTTGTTGGGTGAGAATTAATGAATAAAGTAAATGAATAAAATTGAATTTTCTTATTTAGGGGTTTTATCGGATGAAAATGTTTGTGGAAACCCACCAAGTACAGCTTTGTACACAAAAATATCTTCACATTTAAATTGGATAAAAGAAAACACGAACGATGCTTGTTATTGTACTAATTGAGTTTATTTGTATGAATAAAAAATAAATCTTGCAAATTGCTACTTCTAATTTACTACGCAATACAATAATTATTCATGAATTTAACTAAAATCATAATATTCTATCTTTGTACATGAAATTCTAGCTAATTTAACAATCAGTACAGCGTTAATTGTAGCAACACTGTTTACTTTTATCATAATTATTATTAAACTTTTTTATCTTAAAAATACAACAAGTATTATTGATTTCTGCCAATTGGGTTCATGATACTTCTTCTCTCAATCCTTATTTTAATTATACTCGTTAAAAATTAATCACTTATAATCTATTAATTTTTATAGAATTAAAAGTGAAGTGAGGTTAAGGTTCTAGCCGAATATAATCTAAAGCAATCTCATTTGTGTAGGTGAGAGATTGTCTTTATGTAATTAATTAAATCATTAAGAGAATTAATATAACCAAGATTTATTTATAATCACGCATTTTTTTGCATTAATCTACGACAAATCAATAATTCTTTTTACCCTGATTAAATGGAACAATTAAATTTATACATTTACTACTATAATTACATACACAGGATGTTTTGAAATACATCAATTATTATAGAAGCGAATTAATTTTCTTAACTATATATTTATTTACTTATTTATAATGGCATTTTACGATCTTAAATGCATAAGACCCAAAATATTAAAAACGAAATTCAAAAATCCAAAAGTTCCTGTCACATTTTCATTTTTTTTATTACATAATATACACATACGGCCTAAGTTACTCCTTAAAAATCTACGTGTTACGACTGGTTCGGGTGTAAACTGGCATAGATCGGGGCTGCTTTTGCTTTTGCCAGTTCGGAGGCGTTTTTAGCAACGTCTTTCAATTTGTGCGCAGCCGTCACCGTGTGTTGTGTTGTTGCGATCACGTTTTGTAAAGGAAACATATTCGTTAATACATAATTAAATCCACCCGCCTACAAAAAAAAAATGTTGGTTAATAAAAAATTATGTTCAAAAATTCAGCTAACCATCTTTGCACAATTCTTTCGAAAACGTTCATAACCAAACGCACATATTGCTTTACTAAATCCGGTCACTTGTGAATCAATCCATGCTGATCTAACCGCAATTGTTTGGCCTGGATGTGAATCACTCGCTTTATATATTACTTTCTCAGTTATACTCTAAAATATCAAAAAGTACATATTAATTGTTGTATTTATCTAATCATAGCAGGTTTAAATTACAATCAAAAAAATTAGGAGTTATGTAACCAAAAAAAAATTTTTTTTTAAGTTTTTGTAAATAAGAATATTACCATAACTTTGGTGAAACCCAAATTCCTTGTATATGTAATAAGAACTTTATTTTTTGGATCAACTGTAGATTCTTCAACGATATAAATATGAGAACCGCTAAAGAACCTTTCAGCCCATTTCGGAATGGAATTTGTTTTACTGAGCAGTCTTTTACTAATTAGTTTTCCGGCATCAACCCTCCTTACCACAGTATCCTCACTCAAAACGTGCTTACTGTAACAAATCAAATCAAAATTAAAGCAAAAATAATTGTGAAAAATGGCTTCTTAACCTGTTTGGATTAGGATATCGCCTCCAGAAGGCCTGAGCCACTTGGTCCCACGTAAAATTGAAAACGGTGGTGTTCTCGTAATACCTCGGCATAATGATGTCCCCTATCCTGGGTAAACTTGCGTCGATTTTTTAAAAATTTTAATTCACAGCGGACCGAAGTCCCATTTAATTTCGAATGTTGGCCATTACCACCGTTCGCTACGTATTGCGTTCGAACAACCCCACGTTTTTTGCTTCGTTTCGCGTAGCCGAGTACGAAATTTAGAAAGAAGGTCCTAAACCGGAGAACGGAGACGACATATCAGCTGTCATCGGTACTAAAATTTCTGACAGGACGACGACCTAACTTACCGACCTAAAAATAGAGTAACCTGACCAAAATCACGTAATACCCCTGTAATACGATTTTTATGATTTAATAAAATAGTTTTTCAACTATACTACAATTAATATAGCAAAATAACCTACTTTTTTATATTTATGTTATTACGTGGCTGAATATATTTTAATTATAAACACTTTTTTGTAATTACAATTCCTTATAAAGCTAAGTGTCCTAAATTCAACAATTTACGCTTTTTCGGAGGTGAAATTTGTTGTAAACGACTATTAGGGTTACGATCCATACCTTGTTCTAAAAAGAACAGACTTCACTCAATTAAATTGAAGACGCAAAAGGGTTTAAACATAATTTACAACAATGACACGAAACTGTCGAATTATCAATAACCTAACATTCAAATTCTAAATTGCCTGTGTGTGAACGGTGTGAACTTCCTCGCATTCAACCAATCACGTGCAAAGTCAATCTGGTGACAAATTTAAAATACTCCTCCTGGTTTAAAAACAGAGTATAGTAAAAAAAAAATTCTTTTAATTTTTAAGGTTGGTCATAATGACGGTGAATTGTCAAAATTAAATTATTAAAAAATGTATCTTAACCTCACTATTGAAATTCGAGCTTTAAAAATTTTTGTTTTTACTATTGACACACATAAGGCCCCGTTCACATGACAATAATCTGACGCGCGTTGATATCCAATGTATTTAAATACAACCGTTCAAAATCTGACGTGCGTCAACGCGCGTTCATGCGAACCGTGTGAACATTTGTATTTAAATACTACATACTTTGGATATCAAAGCGCGCGCTTAAAAATCGTGCGTTTGGTTATTGATCATTTTCATTAGTTTTGCGCTATTGTAGTATTTATAAATGTATTATACTATTTAGAGTAGTATAAGTAGAAAGTAGTATAATAACCTAACATTTAGGTTCAAAGCGCTATTAAAGCTACATATAACATTGGTTACATATTTAAAATTTCAAAATAACGTATAATTAATATTTAAATAGAAATAATAGAATAATAAAAATATTATTTTTATTTAATATTTAACCTTTCAATGTCAGTGCCATCTATGAATGGGATGATGGAGGCTTTAGTCAGTGTAGGTAACCTAAATGAAACGGGAAAAACTTCTCTTTCTTGAGGCCCCCACTTTGCACATGTCATGTCCGCGTATTCCTACAGTAGCTCTTAATTAGGATAGTTCTTAACGTTTAGCTTTAATAGTTACTTTTAAGTTTAGTGTTAAGGGATTAATATAGATAGAAAGTATGGACGATTACGAGTACGGGTAAGTTGCGGAGGAAACGTTTCGTTAGTAAACGGGGTTAAAAGTAATTCTAAAACGGTTAAAAACTATTATGTAAAAATCTCGCCACGGTGTTGTGTCCACACGGGAAGAGTTCTATTGGTAATCATAGCGGCGGCGTCTGGAAATACACTGCGCGTCTTATCCGGGTTTTAGTCGAACCACACTGACGGAAGTCGTCCGGCTGCCATTTGTCGGTTTTTTTTCTGTTCGAGTAAACGTAAGCGTTCGGTCGGTCGTTCGGTTTGTACATGTTAAAGAGAAGTCAGAAAAGAGAAAACGAGAGGAAACGGACCGACGGTGGTTGGGTTTAGGTGTATTATGCGAATGTTGAGGGTACCGCAAGATATGGACGACGACGAAAAAGGGTATTTAATTCCGCATTACGAGTACACGTACGCTAAATCTAAACGGTCGAAACCACGCGTTTTTCATTTTTCATTTTTACAATCACTCCGATTTCTTTCAACACCAACATTTTTACACTTAATATCTTTTTATTTATTTAATTTCGTCTACAATTCCATCTTGTATTATAATCGCGCGGCGTTCAACGACCCAAACATACCTGATACCGATGACGCGAACCGTGTAGCGGTCAAGAAACGCTACCGACGATGACTCGTTTCAATTCTAACCTTACATTTTTATAATTTCATTTTTTTTTAATTTTAGCAAACTGTTTGTTGGGGGCCTGTCTTGGGAAACATCCCAAGACAACCTGCAACGGTATTTCTCGAGATATGGCGAAGTGATCGACTGTGTGGTCATGAAAAATGCGGAATCGGGCCGATCGCGAGGTTTCGGTTTTGTCACATTCGCCGATCCGAGTAATGTCTCGGTCGTTCTACAAAATGGACCACATACACTTGACGGAAGGTAATTTTTATCGACTCATTTCAATTGATTTTTATTGATTTATACTTATTTGATCGTTTAGAACTATTGATCCGAAACCTTGCAATCCAAGAACTCTTCAAAAACCGAAAAAGGGTGGTGGTTATCCAAAAGTTTTTTTGGGTGGGCTCCCATCAAACGTTACGGAGACCGATTTGCGGACTTTTTTCACTCGTTTTGGTAAAGTTATGGAGGTGGTTATTATGTATGATCAAGAAAAAAAGAAATCGCGCGGATTTGGGTTCTTATCTTTTGAAGACGAAGAATCGGTTGACCGTTGCGTGCAAGAGCATTTTGTTAATCTGAATGGGAAACAGGTATTATCTCTTACAGTATTTTATGACGAAGGTTATTTTTTTCCTTAAGATATTTTTGAAAGTGTCAAAAAGTAAATTAAAGATATCTTGAGTGTTGTATTACTTTTAATAGTTTGATGATGGGTTACGTTTGTCAAATAACTTGTAAGAAAGTCCCGTTACTGATTAATAGATGGCGCTCGATCATCACAATTAATTTTGAACCTAAACCTCCATTATTTTCGAAATTGATTGAAAATTTTATATCATAATAAGTATCAGCCTTGATATGAATTCCTATCTATACAAGCTATATTGTATTTGATTGTAAAGGGTTAATTTTTTTTAAGTGCATTAATTAATTGTAATTTAAGGTTGAGATTAAGAAAGCAGAGCCGCGCGATGGATCTGGAGGGGCAAAAATGGGTGCAGCTGATCCATCTTCAACTTGGGGACCTCCTCAAACGCCGATGGGAATGATGCAAGGACCAAATGGGCAGATGGGTGGACCGCCGATGAATTTAGGAGCTCCAATGGGTCCAAATATGATGCAAAGTTATCAGGGCTGGGGGACATCTCCACAGCAGCAGAGTTACGCCGGCTACGGCACCCCTTCCGGTCCAGGATCATATACGGGGTGGGGCGCTCCGCCGGCGCCTCAAGGTCCACCGCCGCAGTGGGGAAACAACTATGGCGGACCACCGCAACAGCAGGGCTACGGGTCTTACGGTGGGTTTTGGAGCGCCCGGCGAGCGTTCGCGTCGTTCGACGCCGTCGCCGAGCGTTATTTTTTGTCGAGTGACGTGTAGGATTGATTGTAGGACCTGGTACAGGTAGCGGAGCGGCCAGTTGGAACAGTTGGAATATGCCGCAGAACAGCCAATCAACTGGACCATCTGGTAATAAGAAATTATATTTCGATTGTTGAGATTTTAATAATTGAGATAATTTTTGGTTTGGTAGCGTATATAACGGGGGATATGTACTCCAGACAACAATCGGGTCCAGGAGGTCCCGCAACGCCAAATGCCCCACCGAACATGACGTCGTCCACGGCGAATTCGAAACCGGGCTCTGATTACAGCAGCTACGCGTATGGATCGTACAACGCGGCGGCGGACGCAGGTTACGGACCTCCTACGCGGTCGTACAGCAGCGACGCGGGGAGCCAGGTCGGAGGGTACTCGTCGCAGCCGCCCAACGCAGGTGCTAAACATTTCAATGATTTTAAAGAGTGGCCCACCTCTTGACAACCTTCTTCTTGTTCTTCTTCCTCCGCCGTTTTTGAGAGCGACGGCACGGCGGCTCCCAATAAAACGGAGCCGCCCGCTAGTAGCACTAGTAACGGCCACCAACAACACCACCACCACCAACATAACCACAATAATCACCATCAGCATGGTCAGCATGGTGGTAGCGGCGGCAGTTGGAAAAAAAGGGCCGCCGCCGCTGCTGCTAACGGGGCCGTCCTCGCCGCCGTTACCCATCATCCCAATGCTAAAATCAATTATGCCGATTAGACGGACATATATATGTTGTTCTGATTCATGTTTTTATCTATTATTAGAGTATTGCAATTTTCGCAAAAGCCAATCTAATTTTTTTTTTCAATTATTATAGTTAAAAGTTCGAACTTAAACAATCAAAAGATAAAATATCTTACAAAACATTTTTGTTTAACCTACCAAGCCTTTAAATTACATTCTCAATTGGGATGGGCTTAGATTATCAGTGCAGCGTTTTAATTGAGTTTATAATTTTAATGCTTGGTATTATGATGACGTATGCTAAAAAATAATCGATATATATATCTATATATATATATATATATATATTATATACATGGAAGCAATTATTATTAACGAAGAAAAAAATGAAAGAAAATTAAAAGCTCTACGCGCGTTGCTTACTTGATATAACGTAATAAATGAATGAAATTGATTAGGGGAATGATTTATTGAACATTAATTTCTTTTTCTTAGTATTTAATTAAATAATTGACGCGATTTAAAGTTTTTTAAAGGAGGCGCACGACGCGACGTCCAGACAGACTGAACGGCAACAACATGTTGACTAATTTTAAGCGCACTGCTCAACTTGTTAAGGGTATATAATAATTAATTAAAAAAATGATTACGATCGAAAAATCTAGACGCTAATATTGAATTTTTTTATAAAAAAAAACTATGTAGGTGTACTTGTAAATTTATTCATTTTCCCTTGTTTTTATTATTAATTTGTTCTTTTAATTATTATTATTATTGCATAATTTTCCTTATTATTTTTTTTAATCTTTGAGGAGCGTCCCTCGAAATGATCCATTTTGTGTTTTATCTTTCGCACGTTCATTTTCTAAGCTAAAAAATAGTTTTTAACGTTGTGTATATAAAAAAAGATGCATTTACAATAATGATTAAATAAGTAATTTTAAATAAGTAATACTTAATTATAAAAAGTAAGTTAATAATTTGACCTGTCTGCTTCTAGTCTGTAAAAAATATTTTTTTTTATTGTTAATTAATTGTTTAATTGAATTAAATTTTGGTGGACGCTCCGCCGATACACATAAATAATGTTTTTTAAATAAATGCACAACCACTATTTAAATAGAAGAGAATAGAAAGAGTTCTTTAACGTTATTAAGTAGATAGGAAAATGATCTGGCTGTAATAGATTATCATCTAAATAATGTATTGATATATATATATATTATATATTTAAAGATAGAAGTATATATTAAAAAATGCGATTGTTTAAAAAATATAAATACGACAGTATATTTTGTGGTGATTATAAATTAATATACGGTCGTATTAAAGAGCTGCTGCTGCTTCTCTTTTTTTTAATTAAACTAATAATAGTTTTGTACAATGATAGATTTCCTATCGACTGATTCTACATTTACTACTACTACTATAACTGCGTTCTTATCTATTTATTTAATTATTATAAAATATTAGGGAAATTTTTAAAATAAAAACGAATCGTCTTATTGTGTTAGTTAAGTACTAAATAATAGAAAAAAATGCGGATAATACAAGATACAAAATGTTCGGGGGCCTTATGTTTAAATTAAGTAAAAAAAATGGTAAAAAATCGTATATATACATATATATATAGAAATAGATAAATATTTAAAATTAATTAATTAATTGTTCATATGTCTATATTTATAGATAAAAAACAATTGTATAAAAATAGCAAAAACAGAGACACAAGAAAAAAAAATATAAGTATCATAAGTATTTATTAATTATTTTTTTGATTAATCTAATAATTTTGTGGTTGTGATTTTATTTTTTTAATTCTTTTTAATTTAACGAAAAAGTTATTTTTATTTCAATCTTTCTTTTTTTTTTTTTTGTTCGGAAATTATTTTTGTTCCCATTTATTATTGTAAGAATAAGCCTTAACTAATACGCGTAAAGACGGTTTTTAGAAAAAAAAATATGCAAAGAAAATACCTTAATTTTAGATGAAATTACTAATTGTTTGTCTGTCCGTCTGTTCTGCCCCGATTTTATCGTAAAAAAATAATCAATTAATTAAAAGAAGCCAAAAACGTCGTCGTCGTCGCCGCCGCATTTAAAAACAAATATATATATGTCTATCTAATCTTCATTGATCTTATTATATAAAACCCTACATTTTACTATATACATATAATAATAGGTGGTCCTTGACGTCTTTTTATAATTTTTTTTAATTCGACATCAACCAAAAAATCATCCTTTTATTATTAAATTAATTTAAATCTGAAAAATCAATTAGGAATATTATTGTTAAATAAGCATTTCTTATTCCGTTTTTTACCAATATTTATTATTACTTCACCCAAAAAAAAAAACAGGAATATTATTGTTATTACTATGCATTTTTAACTAACTAATTTTTAATACGATTTATTCAAAACATCGATTTTTTTTCTAGTTTAATCTAGATTACCTTAATTTTTATTAATTTGTTGAAAAATGGTAAATAGTATTTTAGTAATTTAATGCTAGAAATAAGTCGAGGACAACTTGAAAGAAATTAAAATAACTTCCTTTCTTTCTCTCTCAAAAGAAATACTTTTTTGGTATAAAGATATTAGTTATCAAACGAACCTACTTCTTACGAAATAGAAAGCTTAAACGATAAATATATGTATTTAGAGGTGTAAAATTATAAATGTGCACGCAGAATCAATTTAAATATTTTTGGTAGATATTAAAACTTTTTAATGCACTTTTTTAAAGGTCTCGGTTTATTCTAATTTTGGTTTGTTTTAAGCCATGAATATCAAAAATCCTTCGATAAATCTTGAAACTTAAATTATATATAATTGCTTATGTTAATAAGTCACAACTCTCAACCTATTTGATGGCTTCTTCTTTAATTAGTTCCCCCAACTTCTTTTTATACCAAATGGGATTAATACTAACATTTCCCTTAATCGGGAATAATTAAAATTGGCTCAACCCCGATTAACTCGTTGTATTAATTTCTTCACATCAAACTCATCTCTTAAATTAAATGGAATTTAGTTTAAAGTAAAATATGATTTAAAGAGGATATTTCTTAGTCCGGAACCCATCATCAAGTCCCAAACAATAATTGTTTGTACTACGAAAAAGATGCCAATCCTTATTTTCTGCAATTAAAATGTAATGGACATCAAAATTGACGTTTTAAAAAAGTACCTTAAAGGTTATTTTTAAATTTCGATTGAATTTAATTTTAAAATTTAAATTAAAATGCGTGCATTTCCCAAAAACAAATCGAGTCTAAAAATAAAATAGCAGATATAAAATGATAAACTAAAAAAAAAGCAATTGTGAAAAATGAACAAAAAGGTTGCCTTATTTGTTTAGACGAAAAATAAAAATAACGAGAGAAAAAGAAGTAACACGTTAAATTTAAATTAAATTAAAAATGGTGGACAAATAGGAAAATTTTATCAATTAATATCGTATATTATATGTATAATTAAACTGTTACAGTACACTATATAGGCTAGACTTAAACTCTTTAAAGGTTAAAGGTTGCTTTTTTCGAGTCGAAATTTGACTCAACATCAATCAAAAAGGATAAATATAATTAATTAGAAAGAGTAAATAATAAACAAAGAAACACACGAATATATTATAATATACATACGTGTTTATGAGAATTATACATTTATAAAATAGAGTTTTAGAGAAACCGAAAATTAATTTTTCTTAAGAAAACTGATTAAAGTAACTAAAAGTCGCGAATAGTTTTAATTATAATTAAAATAATTGATTCAAGTTGTTAGATTCGTACGAAATGTAATTCTAAAAGATTAATGATTTAGACACGAATTCCAGACTGATGTACAGATGAAAAATACAAAGAAAACCTTACAAACTGCTAAGTATAAAAGTTTAATGAAAAAGATACAAGTAAAATTAAGTTTTTTATAGTTTTCCATATTTAATTGTTGGAATTAGTGAATATCGATTTAAAAGTAAATGAATTAAGTAAATCCGGTGATTTCATAATTTCAATTAACTTGATAAATAATATTATATCCCCTTTTGAGAGTTTTTATAGACTGCAAGTTTTCTATTTACTAAAAAATAAATAAATAGATCGATCGTGTTGCTCAAGCTTTATTAAGTAATTAATACCTTAATTAATTTAAAATAAATGATTATAAAAAGAAATCGATCGTTGATTAAAGAAAAACCGTTTATGAACTACAGTGAAATTCCCCCAACTCGAATCGCTAAGGGAGACAATTAGAACCTTTAATTGATTAATTTAACCTTTCAGCTATTTAAATAAAAATATACAACAATTTAGCGCTGAATAACAATTAAAACTAGAACAAGCATCATTCGGGTTTAGCCGTACGGCTCTAAAGATGGTTAAACTCGAATGATTTTAGTTCTAAGTATAGTGTTAGTTCTAGTTTCACACTTGCACTACATAGTTACAGTGTTAGTGTAAAATTAGACCTAGAACTGGAAACATTCGTGTTTAGCCGTGCGTCTTCAAACGCTTTCTAGTTTTAGGACTAGTGTTAGTTCTAGTTTTAGTTCATTAATATACAACAATTCAGCGTAATGCTAATGCTAACTAGCGCTATCTAACACTGTCACTAGTACTAACACTAGACCTAGAACTAGAAACATTCGGCTTTAGCCGACTTAAGAGACGCAGGGCTACACCCGAACGTTCCTAGTTCAAGGTCTAGTGTTAGTTTCAATTTTCATTCAGCGCTAGTTTGAATCTTAAATTCACTGGAATAAAAAAAAGTTGCCTTACAGAACGGTTTCAAATAGTTTATTTTTTGAAAAATTCGGCATATTGTAGTTAGAGGTGAAGTAATTCCATAGTAAAGCTTCAGCTTTCGAAAATTATTCGACTTACGATAATAATTCGAAATATAGAAGTTCGAATTAGGGGAATTTCACTGTATTTGTATATTTAATATATGAGTGTGATGAATTTGTATTTTAGGTGTCTAGTAATGTTAAAAAACGAAAAAAGAATGTAAAATAAAAAAAAACGCGGGAGTTTGTTTTGTAATTCATAAGTACGAAAATAATAGTTACTATTCGAATTAAAAGTGAAAAGAAACCATCAACTTGGGACGCTTTTATATAAAACTCAATAAGAAACGATAAAAAGTATTCATTTAAAATTTAGAAACGTCATTTTGACATTTGAAATTAACTTTATTAGAACTTTTTTTTTTTTGAATTATAAACGTCATTTTGACGTTTTAAAATTTTTGAAATTAATATTTTTTTATCGTTTTCGGTTTTTTATAGTAGTGAACCTGTTAAATACGCAAAAGAACTAATTATCAATATAAATTGCGCCTATGTCCCATTTGTAATTAAATAATTTCGTTTATTTGACACGTAGGTACATATATATCCATCATTTTTTAGACTATGTTTTTTTTCCTAAACTTTTTAATTTTTCTTTATTGGAAAATTATTTCCCCCTCACACACGATGATTATTACGATCACTTAATGGTAATGAAACATTAAATAACTATATATATATAGACGTAGAGAGTTTAAAGAGGAAAAATAATTAATTAAAAAGAGAGAAATGAAAAGTTAATAATAAATAGTTGTTATATCTCGAGACCTGGTTCGCAAGTAGGGCGTTTTTAAATATTTAATCAATAAATAAACGCATATACATACATATATAAATATACATACTTTAATTATTATTAATATTACTACTATTATTATTATGGTAACGATAATAATACATATATATATAAATATAACTGATTAAAAATTAATTAATTACAATTAATATTAGTAGTGCATTTGTATTTGGGGTAGTTATTAATTATATAAATATATACATACATAATATACATAAAATATGGTAACAATATACTTTTAGCATGATCTTAGATGAATGATTAATAATAATAAACAGGAATTTTACTTAAGGCGCCCAGCCCCCCAAAATTAGTTGGGGAAAGGCGTAGTACGATGTACCTCGTAGTCTTCACGCTCCCTTATTTTTAAGGGGGAGCGATGGGGGTCACGATCTATTAAATCTATATTAAAAATACATGATATCAGCGTTGGTGTGTTTGCTTTTACTCAGACACCCCCTCTTTTTTAACTCCTTCACGCACAAAATCTTACAAATTAAATCGTTTAAATCAAATCCAATTTAATTTAACAGCAAATTCATTTTCAAAGTTATGCGTTGGTAACCCTCATACACATTATGAATTTAAACGTCACATTTGACGTTTAATTAAAATTGATTGTTTGGATTTGTTTTAAATTTGAATTAATATTTAGTGTAAAATGAATGTGCGTTAAAGAGGTGATTATATTTTTTTAAATTTATTAGATGATTTTTCCCAAAACAAATAAATCTTCGTCCTCTTATCCAAAAAACGCCTTTGTCCCCGTCGTTCTGTTCACAGTACCAAGCGAGCAGATCGTCGAAGTCTTCCATCACCACCATCACCTTCACTACCCCAACAACAACAACAACCAGACCTACAGTGTTCCTCAATATAAATCCTCTTCGTCATCCTCGACATCGACTACGACGACGACGATGATAACGCCGTCAACATCGACGACTACCGCCGATTCACCGACAACGATCAACAACAATAGCAAGGGTAAACGAGGGAATTTGAATTGTTCCTCTGCATCCGTAGGTGACTACACGGCGGCCGGCGGAGATTCTTATGCTGGGGGACCGCAGAGAGGCTCCTCGTACAATAACCCGTCACAGCCGTACCACCCGTATAGGCGATAGATAACCTACCCTCGAAAAAGAAAAATGAATTGAACGATTATCATCCACCCGAATCCATTCCGAGCAAGAGAACGAGTGTCACACCTCACATCAATTTTGTATTACAAAAAATAATATTTCCAGCATAGTTCGGACTCGTAACTTTATAATTATTAATTAATTTTAAAAATAAATTTTAATTAATTATGATTTAACGGTCAAAAAGAAAAAATTCGTGTGAAGTTACGAGATCGAACACAACGTGGAAATGAAAAAAAAATAATAATAAAAAAAATGATAATAAAATTCATCTACGTACCATAATAAAACTCAGTAACAAAATATAATTTATAACAAGTACCGAACAACAGCAAATATTATCAATCGTGTTATTATTTTTTCAGTTTTGTTGTGTTTTTTTAGTATTTAGTCAGTTTCTTTTTCTTTTCTTTCCGAAGAAAAAAATTTACTAATTTGGCTACATTATTGCCGTTTTTTTACGTTTCTTTTAAATTCGGATCTTTACTATGTATTTGTTCAATATAATTATTATTGCTGGTGTAGTAAGGCGTAGTAATAAACGTAAATTTAGTTTAGTTTAATATTTATTTTTAAACCAGTTATCCTAATTAGTATCCAAGAAAAAATCGGGATCAAGAAATTGATTGAAGAAAATATAGTTTCTTGATGCCGAGTTTTTATTAAAATTAACAATTTTAAGGGTTTATTTTTTATTGTTTAAAATTTTTATTACTAAGTTTTGATTTAAGAAATATTTAATTAATAGCAAAGATATTAATTCGCTACAACTGCGACAAACTTATACTTTTAGTTCAATAAAAATAGACAACAATTTAGCGCTTAATAACAATTAAAACTACAACTAACACCAGAACTAGAAACATTCGGGTTTAGCCATGCGTCTTCAGAAACTTTCAAGGTCTAGTGTTAGTTCTAGTCTTAGTTCAATAACAATATACAACAATTCAGCGTAATCTAATGCTAACTAGCATCTAGTGACAGTGCAAGTGTAAAACTAGTACTAACACTACATTCTATTCGATTCTAGGTCTAGTGTTGGTTCTAGTTTTACACTAACACTATACCTAGATCTAGAAACACTCGGGTTTAGCCATTCGTCTCTAAAGACGGCTAAACCCGAATGATTCTAGTTCTAGGTATAGTTTTGAAGTCTTGAGATCTGTGTTGAATGTGACACTGCGAGATAGGCAGACCAACACCTCTATCAGAGAAAGATGTACCTAACATACAGGATATAGTAAAATGGACAAAAAAAAGAAAATGTGGAAGGAGTATGTGGAAAGAATGGATGAGAGGAGATTGGCCAGAATATGCATGTATGAGCGACCGCTCAAGAGATGGGCACAGAGCCGGTTCTCCTCGTCTGCATAGTAAAGTCCAAACATAAGGCTTGACAAACAGGAATGTGTCTCTAATAATAAGAAGAATAGGAAATAACAAGTAAAACTTTCCAAGTTTGTCGCATTTGCATCGAAGTTTTAATTACAATTTTGGCGTTTAATTCCGCTTGAAATCAGTGGCGTCCGTTTTAATTTCAACGTTAATAAAAAAATGATTTTTATTAAATTGTATCTTTTACTCTATTAAAAAATGAAAATTCATTAATTTTATTTAATCAAAATCGTTGTAATACATTATTTACTTTAATAAATTATTACATTTTACAAGTACGCCACTGATCACAAGCTTCACTCTGTTTATTCTGCAATTTGAGGTTCTGTCATTTCATAAAATCAATAAATTAAACTTGCAATTAGAAAAGATTTTATTAGGAATATGTAAATAAATCAAGAATAATATTTAGTTGATTATCCTATTAGAGGTAAATGTAGTCGATTAAGTTGATAATTTTATTATTAAGTATATAATTTTTACTTTTATAGGTTATATCATAACCTATGATTTTGTTTTCGTATTTAGAAGAATATTTTTAAAGTAAATATTAATAACATCGTGAAAATGAAGTGCGTAATAATTTTCGATCATACAAACGATGTGATATACTCAAAATACGATGAGAAATTCATTGAGCATGTTAAAATATTCGCAAGAAACCAGGGATTGATTACGGGAGAAGAGGTAACTTAACCTTAATTATATTTTATATCTTATTAATTATTATGTTAAAGTCGGAGATATGCGCCAATGTCCTTGTACAAATTTTCTCCCCCATTGTAACGTCTCATCGGATCATGAATTGCCAGTTTGGGAATTCGTACACATCAATTCAGTGCCAAAAGGATATTAATTTAACTTTTGAGGATGTAAGTTATTATTAATATGATGTTTAAACTAAAAAAGAAATTTATTTTAGTATATGGGATATTTATTTATGTATGTTTCAAATGATAATTCATTTACTATGGCGAAATATTTGAGTGTTTGTGTTACGTTGGCACGATATGTTTGCGGCCCAAATATATTGATGTAAGTTATTTTTTAATAATTATGTTATTTACTTTTAAATTGTTTTAGATTAAAAACAGATGAAAATAAAGCGAATCTTATGACTCGTTTAATCGATACTTGGAATTATTTAACGTTGAATGATCAAGCGATATTTATCGAGGCAATTGAGCAGCTTTTGGTTAATGTTGATTTAACAAAAACTACCGTTCAGATTTTGCGTGAATCGGTGGATAAATTACAAAATTTGACTGAGTATACAAAAATTCATGGATTGTTGATGGTTAATAACAAATTTTTGGGGTTATATTCAACGTAAATTCATTTTTTTTTGTAATATAGTTTAATATAAATACTTTTGCTTTTTTTAGGCAAAAAGCAAAAGATTTATCATCAGCAGATATATTATTTTCAATCCTACTTTGCGAAATCAATAAAAACGAGCCCAAAGACAACTCTGAGATTTTAAATAATTCATCTCATGAAATTTTATTATCTGGAAACGATCAAACTCCTAAATGTATCCCATACAACATTTATATCCGTGAAATATGCGAAAACATCAACTTAGTGTTTTTTATTGAAACTGGAAGTGCGGTTGTTTCCGGTACTTTATATGATGCATTCTCAAATTTACACTCCATGCAATTGGTTCAAATACAAAGAAATGTTTCAACGTTAAAACCAGCCTTTGAAAATTTGGATAATTCGATTAAAAAGCTATTCGAAGCGATTAAAAAGTTAAAAAACGTCTCGTTAAAAGGTTGTATTGAAAATTTGGGTGGTGTTTGGGAGTTTATGCGAAAAAAATACCAAGAATTTATTAAAAATCGATCGCCAGAAGCTTTATTAAGGGCGGAATCTTTAACGTGTGGTTTATTGGATGGTTTAAAAGAATTATTGGTTTTAATAACGATCAATGGAACAGTGTTATTAAATGATACAGTTTTTTTGGAGCATTTAGGTGAATGTACTAATTGGGTTTGTGAGAAATTATCGAGTTATGAAGACTTTTTGAAAGTAAAATCGTTAAAAAATTTTACGTTAGGATCATATCCTTTTTATTATAAAGTTGTTTTTTATTTAACTTTTTTTATTATTTTCTCCTTAATTGTGTTGTTACAAATACTTCTTCCCTAACTATACATAAGTACTTGGAAGAATTTCCAGGACTTGTTCACTTCATTTATGTGGATCGAACAAACCATCGTATTACAGCGCCCGGAATTGATTTTAATACGGAAGAAATTGTGGTACTCACAAGAAATAAGGTAGTAAAATATCACTTATTACGAATAAAATAAAAAAATATTTTTAAGATATGGTCAATGATTAAATTCGCCCAACTGCACCTTAATGAAGGTCACACTTCGATCATTTGGAAGGATATGACTTTTAGTTATGCTTATTTCTTGTGGTTTGAAGACGTTTCCGGATCTCCTTTGAAACCTACAGTTTCCCCGATGCATTTTAATAGATCGTTACCAATTCCTGGCACTTTTTGTGATGATTATTATCGGTGAGTTATTTTAAGTTGAAACTTATTTAAAATTAATGGGTTTTTAAGACATTTAAAGGAGGCTTGTTTTCCAAAAATGCCGCCACAAAAAATACGGTGTTACGAGTTGTACACGATCCATTTGGGACTTGTCACCACTCAATGCGTTTTGGAACATACCAGACGGTTGTCTGCTACCATATGGGAATTAAAAGGTCATCCAGATCATCCTATTGATTTATTATAGATTAGTTTTATTTATTACACCTGTCAATGTCATGCAAATTAATTTGAAAATATGGTAAAACTAAATTCCCTGTTCATGTTACCAATTGTAAAATAATTTGACAGGTGTTGTAGAAGTAAATGGTGTATTTATTGAAAATGTTAGATAAATAAGTATTTATTGGTAAAGGAGATTAATAAATAGGAATATAAACAATTTTTTTTAAATATTAAAGTTTAAATCCATTTATTACGAGCCCTTAATATAAAATAAGATTGAGATTACAAAAAAATAGCTACGATTTATTCGATATATCACATCGTTGTACATCGAAATCACATTTATCTAAAAAAAAAAAACCAAGAAATATAACAGAGAGTGATTTTCAAAAAAGGAATGTATTAATTTTTGACCAAAATGTGTATGTTGATTTAAGATGTACACAAGAAAAAATAATAAGACGAATATTGTTAATATTTTTCTTAATATTGGTATTACTTACTTTTAAATTACAACCAATAAATACGTAAAAATGAAATTATTAGAAGAAGAACAGCCTCTTGTACTTAGAATTATAAAGGATATTGAGCTTATTTGATTTTTAATTTGAGCGGGATCAATTAGTTTGATTAATAACTTTGTTGCTGTTATTAACGGGTACAACACAAGCCCCAGCTCGACCGGTTAATAATGATGCCAAAATAGTCCATTCATTCGTAATTGGATCATATTGCTCCACAGATCGTAAATAATGACTCCCATCATAACCTCCGATTGCTACCAATCTATCTCCGAATAAACAAACGGCCACCGTATCCCTTTTAGTTGAAAGCATCGTCACCGTTGTCCAAGAATCTGTACCCGGATCGTATCTTTCAACGCAATCGAATCTGGATGCGGCTGGATTATTAGCAGGCGCATCTTGGCCCCCAAATGCGTATAAAAAACCGTTTGCAACCGCGACTCCAACGCCACCCCGTCTTCGCGCCATCGAAGCGCACATAGTCCATTTGTTTGTGTGTGGGTCGTAACATTCAACCGTTCTCAAGCAGGAGGCTCCATCGCGGCCTCCAACTGCATATAATTTTCCGTTTAGAACAGCAACGCCAGCGGAACATCGTTGACTTTGCATAGCGGTTACGTAGTTCCAAGAACGAGTAATTGGGTCATACCTTTCTACGGTGTTCAAATAACTCCATCCATCGTGTCCTCCGACCGCATAAAGAGGTCCACCCAAAACGGCAACGCCCAATCCATGTCTATAAGTATTCATTGGAGACAATAATGTCCACGTACCCGTTTCCAAATCTAAACATTCCATTGTATTTAACGTTTTTAACCCATCTCGACCTCCAACCACCAATAATTTATCTCCCATTAAAGCAATACCAAATTGTAATCTTCTCCCATTCATATGGTGCGCCGTAGACCAATGATCACATCTTGGATCGTAACTTTCAATTGTAGTAGCCCCCTTATTTTTATCCATCCCACCCACAACTAATAATCGTCCTAACGTTGCTTTTCTCGGTCTTGTACGCACTGAAACCATGTGTTGGCGCCTTTCTGTGAGGAGATGCCATTTCATCGCCTCCATAATTAATTTTTGACATTCCGGATTGGTTCCGACTAGGTTTTCAACGTGATCAACCAAAAATGATGGTTCCAATAAAGGCAGTTTAACCAATTGTAAGAGTCGAGGTAAATGCGGGCGACGAGTTTCCGGTTCATGTTCAATCCAGCTCATTAGAGCATGAAATATGTTCTCTTCAGAAGTAACATTTAATTCATCGCTGGATAATAATGAAGCAATTTGGTCTTCAGATAATTGTAGAAATTCTTGATTACAAATTACCTTTGATACATAAGAATTATTAAATTTTTTCATTTATTTTGATGTTACATTCAAAACATTTGATTACCTGCATAAAATGTAAACTAGTAAAAGCGTTGGCTTCTTGTAATAAAGAACTACAAGATTGATGTTCAGCAAAAACTGCAATTCCTAAACAATTGCTTGGGTGTAATTGTTGTGCTAGAAATCGAGAGCATGCTTCCACAACTTTACGAAGTTGCATTAAACATGCGGTTGCTAATAAAACTTCAACATTGTCTTCCCGTATTTCAATCGTCCCTGAATAACAATAATTGACTACCGCTTGAAGTACATCTCCGTTAACATCTCTTAATGTAATTTCTGGTTCGCCAGATTCTCTTAAAGAACCAGTGAACATTGCCGAAAAATATTCGCTTGCTGCTGAGAGTACTAATCTAAAAATAAAAGTTTTTATTTAATAAATTGAAAACAGCTTAACCAATAGGTCAATATGTCAAATTTCAAAATCTTACAAAATAGTTATTTTTTATAGTAAAAAAAAATTAAATATTAACAACAATGAATAAACAATTACCTATGTGCAGGTACCCTTTTTCCATTATTCCCCGCAATAAGAACTACATCGCAAAGCTCCTCAGTCTGTAAATATCTCTTCATACAGGATAAGCTATATTCAGCGTGCCCTTCACATCTAAATTGTTCCTCTTGAGATCCACTCGAGAACAAAGATAATCGGCTAAAATCTCTCGAAATGTTTTCACTACCACCAATTCCGCTGCTACTTCCCGTCGAAATCGAATCTTGACTCGAACTGCTTAGGTTCGTTTTCAAATCCATTCTTTAAACCAAATGTTTTAAAGATTAAATTAATAGAGAATGAGTAGGGTTCATACTAAAACAAGTTTGAAATGGTTTCTTTGTCTAAAACACCAAAACATTTCCAAAACACAAAGAAACAACGTTTCGTTATACGTAGCTATATCGAAAACAGGAATAATAAAGTTGGAGGTTTGACGGAAGTTTTGATGATTTTAGCGACATCTATGAATTGATTTATTAATTTAAGATAAATAAGTTACAGAAATCTGTAACTTATTAAAAAAAAATTAAAATTATTTAAAAGCAGTGAATACCGGTATAACGAGGACTGGTTATAACGAACTAATTTTGCACGTTTTGTAGCGCCTATAACGACCGGATGCGGTAAAGTCATGTAAAAACTGTAGAACTGAAAATCTTTCCAGTTGATAGTATGTATTATACCGGGAATTTCATATAACACGCAATACAGCGTGTCCCGTATCTACCGCATCAGAGCATTATACGGTTGTAGGATACATTATTCTGAAGCGATCTTTCTAATAAAATTTTTCCGAAATGTTTATAATAACCGCACGGGAACTGTTTAAAATCCTCCAATCAAAATCACTTCAATAGCGGAAAACGTTTATTTCTCTTTCCGTGTCGAATCTATTGGTGAGTACACGTGCGAAACTAGTTTGGAAGGGCGCGGTGGACCGGCCGGCGATGAGACCGATTGCCTGAGTGTGATTTACGATCTCCGAAGGCGTTTCCATAAGCTTTTATTAAATCGGTATTGGACAAATTTTAAACATTTCCCGTGCGGTTATTATAAACATTATGGAAAAACTTTATTACAAAGATCGCTTCAGAATAATGCATCCTACAACCGTATAATGCTCTGATGCGGAAGATACGGGACACGCTGTATATGAATGCAGTAACCATAGTTACAAAACGGCTACTGTGTACCTGCACTGTCTCACGTAAAATGCAACATACCTAAGGAGCTATAAAAATGGCGGAAAATTTTGGTGTAATTTTTTTTTTCTCAAAAACCATAAACGCTAGGAAAATGAAATCTGGGGAATATGTTTAACTCATAATAGGGTACGTTTTGACCTTATTTGTACTCTCAATCTACCCTTCTAAACTACTAAACGTAACCACCCCCTTTACATTTTTGCTAAAATTTTTAGAATTTTACAATCGTACACCAATAGATGGGCTATTAGAAAAAGACAAATCAGCCGTCGTATTCTTAAACGGCTTGAGGACCCCCAATTTTCTCTGCGGCCTTTAACGCCCTCTAGTGCCCACAAGGGGGCGTTATCGCCCAGTTTGAGGAAGACTGAATTAAATGAAACTACTTTTAACTGTAATACTCACACTTTATTACAAACGAAACGAAAATAAAGACTTGAAAGAAAAGAACTCTTTATAAATACAATAATAGGAGCGATTAACCTTAAAATGAACTTAAATTAATGTTTCAAAAATGACGGATATGTAAAAAAAAAAGTAAATTAAAATAATAAAGATGAAAGAAATGAAAGACAATAATAATTAGATAGTAATTAACATTGCTTATAGCGTACACCGTCTCTAAACATTGCGTACTTCGGGAGATGAGAGAATAATAACGAGAGAGATAAAAAGAGAAATACAGTGCGATATAATATAATAATCTATGTATGTATTTTAAAAATTGTCTTTTTTGTCATACATGTGACTTACTTCTGTCGATATTTTTTTTATTTTAAACGTTTATTGCCTTAACATTTTTTTATTTTCTTTAAAAACTACTCAGCGGTAAATTAGTGATTTTTTTTAATCATTTCATGATTAAAAGTATTTTAAGAAATTGTTACTTAATTATTTAAGGTGCCAAAAATAATTAATTGAGCAAGTTTTTTTTGGTATTAACTCGATATGTTGTTTTCTAAGATATGATTTTTAGATATAATCGTTTAGATATACAGTAGAGCCTCGATAATCCGAACCGCAGTAATCCGAACGCCCAAGAAGCAAAAATTAAATTTCTTTTGTAAAAGTAAACTTTTTGTAAATTCTTTTGTAACCAATACTTGTGTTTTCAACTATTTAGCAGCAAGATTTGATAATCCGAACCACATTCGGTCCGAATTAGTTCGGATTAACGAGGCTCTACTGTAATTAAAAACAATTTTTTGTAAAGATAATTCCAAAATATTAAAATAATTTATAATAAAAAAGTAACAATTCCTTTTTTGTCTAACTACATTTCTATCCCATTACTTTCTTCACATTTTTACATTTTTAAAAATTTTTTTTGTATTAATTTTTAAAACTGATGAAGTCGTGTTGTGTTTGAATTTAATTAATACATCTTTTCGCGTCGAATTAAATAAATTTAATTTTTTCAAGTGTTATTGAAGCAAAAAAAGCTTTGCTTTATTCTTTCTTCCTATACACGGTAATAGTACAATTTACGGACTAAAATACTCCTTATAATATAATATAATACGACTTTTAATAATCCTTTTTATTATTTTTAATAAGTGACGTGATTCGAATTTATGAAAAAAAGTTTTTCATCTTTTATTATTTACCCTGAATACGTTGCCAATACTAAATAACACGTTTACAACGACGATCTCAACACGATCACAGTATTTACTTTTTTTTACTTTTAATCTTCAACAAAAAAAAGTGAAGCAATTAATTTTTTCCATTCAATTTTTGTTTGGATATGTATAAACTACGTTTTTAAATATTATTGTTAATTAAAAAGCGTGCTCAATGCGCAATAAAAATTAATTATTTGTTATTAATGTTTATTTATTAATATTTATTTAATTAATTAATTAACGTTTGAGAAAAGAAGACGTGTTTTTATTTCGAAAAAGTCTAAATTACTCTTAAATTTTATGACCCTGTATATTAAAGGCTATGTAAATATTTCGATAAATTAATAATTATTTAGTTTTTTTTATAAATCTTTCTCACAAAGCTTGATTGTTGAGTATAAATATTTTTTTAATCCTTTTGTTATAAATGAAACAAAAATTTGTTACTTTAATCTTTTAACGAATTAATTTAACTTTTTTATCACCCTTTAGATACAGTTGCTAACAAAATTGAGTATACAGGGGAATGGAAGATAGATAATTGTGAATATTTGAAATAATTATTAATGTATTTTAATGCTTGTGATATATGTATAAAATTGAGTATACAGTTAAGCCAAAATGATTAAGTTTAGGTTGGTATCATGTTTTAATTTTGTCATATTCCCCTCAATAAACTCCATAGTTCCAATGCTGCTGGCTGTCATTGATCCCCACAGCATTCCTGAACCACCCCCAAGTACACTTTGAAATATATTTTGACGTTCCTGCAACAGATCTGAGTCCGTTTCAAAATTAGTTAGAAAGAAATACACATGGTATCTAGCAGAATCCAGGATCGACAATGGAAATATCAATATTCACTTTTGTCGTAGGCAAATCATTTACTGATAAAATATGTTCCAGCATCAGATTTACGATAGCCATTATATTTTTTTCTTTTCCCTGTTATACTGAGTCACTACATTTTTTATTTTTCTTTTTACCTCATCAATATCAGCGTCAATCGCTTTACTAATCTCCACCCACAAATCTTGTTTTTTGTAACGATCATCAAAATTTTTATCTCGTGGGTTCCACAAACACTTGCAATTTCCTTTATATCTCAATTAAATGTATAATATTTTCGATAGACCACCGAAACGACATATTTTCTGCTTTTAACAGATGTTTACGCTGTAAAAGTCGCTTCTCGGCACACAAATTTCGGAAATAAGTTACAACGTGTCCACACCGCGTCCAAAACAAAAATGTTTCTAAATTTCCTAATGATATTTATAGCTAAATACAGAAATAAGCAACTTATTTCTTTTTTTTTTTGAACATTTATTTCTGGAACCATGAACAATAAAAAACATACAGAAACTTTGAGATACAAGTTCCAGAAACAAGCAACATAAACACAATGTTTCTTTCGATATGAACGTAGTTTAATGTTCACTGATGAGACTAAGGTAATCTTTGGGGTTCAGGCGGAAGGCAAATAGTTTGAAGGCCACCAAATTGTGTGCTCAAAAACAAGAATTTGGTGGGATCAGTTAATCATGGGGTGGTTCAGTAATGCTGTTGGGAAGAATGGCAATCAGCGGCGTTGGCACTATGGAATTTATTGAGGGAAATATGACAAAATCTAGTTATTTAGATATTTTTAAACGTAATTTATGTCTATGCTCTCAAAAACTCAACATTCCAACTGTGTTCTGGTTCCAACAAGATAATGATCCTAAACATACATCATACCTCGTGAAGGAATGGTTATTATACAATACTTGAAAATAACTAAAAACACCAGTCTCCGGATATGAATGCTATGGAACATTTATGGGGAGAAGTTAAATTTCAGTTAGGGCCTTCAGCGTGTTGAAAGATAATACTAACCTAAGACCGGTGTTATAATATTTTCCCATCAAACTTTACATTACAAATATTTGATAATATATCTACGACATAGATCCACGACTATATCCTATATCTAAAATAAATGGTTTTTGTAGAAACTTGAAAAAACCGATTTTTCGTGGTTATTTGATAATTTTAAATCATCAGCCTTTGATCAACATCATTACGTTCTATTTTTTGTTCATTAAAAATATACAATAATCTAGTACTGAATAACAACCAAAACTAGAGCTAACACTAGACCTAGAACCAGAAACATTCGGGTTTAGCCATTAGTATCTGAAGACTGCTAAACTCGAATGTTTCTAGTTCTAGTTATTATTCAGCACTAGATTCTTGTATGTTTTTATTGAACTAAAACCAGAAGTAACAATAGACCTAGAACTAGAAACATTCGGGTTTAGCCGTGCGCCTGAAGACCCGAAATTTTCTAGTGTTACTTCTAGTTGTAATTGTTATTCAGCGTTAGATTGTTATATATTTTTACGGAACTAGAACTATTATTAAACCACACCCGATAGTGTCATGTATACTCAATAGCATGGCGTGAAATTAGTATCATTTGATATTATTGTTAATATTGTGATTATTTTCCATTCAACTTAGTTAATAAGATTGTTGTTAATATATATATAAATCACAATAAGTATTTGAAATAGTCACAATTATCTATTTTCCATTCCCCTGTATATTTAATTTTGTGAGCAACTGTACAAACATAACCAAAAAATTAATAAATGTCAAAATGACGTTTTGGTTAAGGTTAATTAATTATTTTTTCGTTAAAAGATTAATTTAGTAATTTTATTGAAATGAATTTGAGCAAAAATTTAATAATTTCAACATAATCGGATAATTTTTTTGTTGTTTTTATTAATTTTTTTCTTTTTTTTTTTGGTTAATGATTGCCCACAACACGACAGAACCTAACACATTGAATCAGCAGGTTATAAGGCCACCGCTAACTCACTAAAACGACACAGTCTAGCATCGATAACGCCGCAGTCTACACAGTTTATTATTAACGTTTTGTGACAAAGCATTTATTTATTAATTAAATTTGAAAATTAAAAAGAATTAATTTTGAGCCATTATTTTGATTTGGCACAATTAAGATTCAATTTTCTTTTTGTTATTGTTGATACTCATCCTTAAGATTGTCCCCATTTATTTTTATTAATTATACTTCATTATTTAATTAATTATAGTCGAAATTGTTTTTTTTATCGTTTTTGAGCGCGCATCTTTACGTCTTTTTAAATCTTTGCTTTGTTCGTTTCTTGTAGTTCTTTTTAAGAGTTGACATCGAGAATTTAACAAGACTAGAGGTAATATCACTACGTATAATAACAAGCAAGGTGCTTAACGAAATAATTATTTTTTTTTGTAATTAGAAATAAAAGTAAAATGTTAAAGAAATATTCGAAATAATAAAATAATTTAATGGTAGCTAAAAATTAGAGTTAAAATGCTTTTGAGCGAATTAATTGTTTAAAAAAATGACTAGAATTTTCGAAAATGAAATAAATAAAATAAAAAACGTTCTAGAAAGTGCAAAATTTTTAAAATTACAAATCTACGGTTTAAACATCAAACGTTTTTAATTTTAACTCTTTGATGTTTAAAAAATACGTTAAAAATCCTTCCATCACAGTTAGCTACCACTAACCACATATAAGTTAATTATTTATTATCAGTATAATAATATATTTTTTTATGATGCACCGCGACCCCTTTTTAATCGCGACTACGTATATAAATACTGTTAATAATACCTAATTATAAAACTATCATTAAAAAATAATTTAAATACCATATATATATATTTATATATAATTTTCTTTTACTTGTTAAAGTGATGTGAGCTTTCTCCGAATACCAAAAAAAAACAAATTTGAGTTTTATTTTCAAAATTATTTTTTTTTAAATATTCCTCTCAAATATGAGCAAAAATTTGGCACCGATTTTAATCCGGAAGTAAGTAATAAAACAACACAGCCTAAGAATGTAAATAATAACCCTTCTAAGAACGAATCAATCAAAAGTTGATTCTCTCAAGGTTGAAAAATAAAATGCAAAGCGAAAAGAAAATGTTAATTTGAAATTAAAAAATATCTTAAAACCTAATTATTGCACTAGTCCTATTAGATATATTGCATCTAAGTTACAAATACAATTAATAATTGTCTTTAAAGAACGAAGTTTGAATCGCTCAAATCTTTTTTTTCCATCTTTAACTTTAACAGTCCAAAGTTACCCCATTATTCTCTAAAATAACGTCGTTTACATCTACAAACATTCTACTTACATAGTTCTTTTTTTTTATCATTTTAAATACAAACATATCCCTCAGTATCTAAATATATTATATAAATATGTTTATATAAAAAATTAAAATTAACAAATATTGGTCTTTGTTCCCAATACCAAATTTTCTTAAGTTGCTTAATATTTTTTTTTGTCAATTTACGTTTCATTTTCTTGTTATTATTTTTTTTTATTTACCCAACTGGATGACTGTATTGTCATTTAATTTCATAGTGGTTTATTTTTTGCGTCGTCCTCTTTTCTTTCCAACAACACCGTTTACCAACTCCCACCAAAAGGGTAAAGCCACTCCAGTTAGTGAATCGGAGCTTTTACAATGTGGTTTGGAGCTATGTAGTGATAACCCGGCATCGGGAGTCCAGCAGTTTCCATCGATATCCTTTCAACATACAAAAACTTATTAAAAAATTGCATAATTTAATTTTATTTATAATTACAGAAAATTATTTTCTTTTAATTAACCCTTTAATATATTTTGTGGTTTATATAATAATATTTATAACTTTTCCCAAAAGAAATGTATGATTTAGAGTGATTAAGCCGAGGTCGCTTGCGGCCAAGGCGCTACAATTTCATAAAAAACTTAAAGAATGTGTGGTTCAAAATCTTTTTCTTCGGTTTTTAAGACAAGAAATGTGCGATTTAGAATGCTTAAGGCAATGTCTTGGTACCGAGTCGGTACATCGATACAAAACTGCGTAGTATTCAAAAATGATGGTTTAATTAAGGCAAGGTCGTTTAAAGTCAAGGCGCTATAGAAATATGGTGTAATTAAGACGAGGTTGATACCATAACGATACAAATGTGGGTGGATGGTATTTAAAAATGATTGACTCAGATTGAGTGGCGTTACGTCAATAACAACTGCTTCTGCCTCGAGCTGTTAATACTGGTACTGTTGAACATGATGTAGCCTAGGACGATTAGAAGAATGCTCGCTGTTACCAATTCAGAGCTAGCACTTCAGATGCAAGTTCCCTCTATTAGTGCGTCACTGAAGATAGCTAAACCGGAATGTTTCTAGTTTTAGGTCTCGTGTTAGTTCTAATTTTAGTTTAATCAAAAATATATAACAACCTAGCCCTGAATAACAATTTAAACTAGAACTAACACTAGACCTTGACCTGGAAATATTCGGATTCAGCCGTCTTAAGAGAGGTATAGCTAAACCCGAAACTTTTTAGTAGAGTCTAGTTTTAATTCTAGTTTTAGTGCGATAAAAATATGCAATATAGTGATATTTAGTACTAACTAAAAATGGTGTTAAAAAACATTTCATCGGCGAAGTATTTCTACTTAATATTCTTCAAAATGTCGAAATCAATTGTTTTATAGTCAAAAAGGAGATTTCCATTATTTGCAGAACTAAAATGAAAACAATAATTATTTATAATTGTAGATTAATAGGAAAGGGCGCAACGATGATTTTTATTGCTTTTACAAACCCTCTCAATAATAATAACCAGAGATGTGTTTGGTTATCGGGACCGAAGGCTTAACGTCCTCTCAGAAGGACGATATATACATATACTATATTTATATAGATTAAAATTAAACTAATTTCCGCAAAATAATATTAAAGGGTTAATAAATATGTAAAAGAAAATGTATTTCTTATTAAAGAAAATAAATTGATTTAGGGATAAGATTCTTAGAAATAGGAAAACATCGGATGGTTTAAGCTTACCGGGATAAAAATGTCTTCTTTGCCTGGATTTTGTTTTTCTGGAAGATGAGAGAGGGCTCGTTTTTTTTTTATTTTGGACTTGTTATATATCTGGGCCAGGACAGGAACGTATGTTCACACAACCAATATTATTCGACTTTCACTCAATTTTCGAAGTCGTTTCAATAAAGAACTTTTCTTAACTTCAGAAAAAATAATTATGTATCAAGGAGGAGAATTTCTCCGCCTTAATACATAAATAAACATTATTATTGAAACTTCTTCCGAAAGAAAAAATAACTATTCTCCCCCTGTTAAAAATAATTTGTAAACAAAAAATTATTAAAAATTAAAAAAGAATTTTTTACATAGAGTATAATGTATTAATCGAATTATTGATTCCAACAAAGTACATCTAAAATTGTGGTTCCTCTTAATTAATAAATTGTATTCGTACGTAATTTATATAAAACACGATTAATTTATAGAGATATAGTTAATCGACTTAATTGAATTAAACTTAACTGATTAACTATAAATGTAAAAGGTTTTTTGCGCTAACGCTGAAAAAGAAAACTACTTTTTGTAGCTGATATGTTTCCCTACAAAAAGCTGTTTTTATGCCGAATCATTTCAATTTTTTTTTGTATAAAACTACTTAATTACAGTATTATTACCTTATAATTATGTAAACTCTACATTATTCCTTTTATATAAATCAAAATAAAGAGACGAAATGCCGGGCGTAACTCATACAACCAATATAAGTCGTCAAAATCAAATTTAACACATGATTAAATTTAAATTAATAAAAAAATGTTTAAGGTAATTTTAAACGTACAAAGTTTCAATATTTCTCCAAAGATGGCACCAGAAAATATTTTATTAGGATTTCTGTGTTTAATGAATGCTTCTTATAACGACCGGCGAAAATTAAGCAAAAGAAAAATAAAAAGTAGTACTTAATTAATAATATGTAAAACACGATAAACGTCAAAATAGACCTGTTACTTAAATCTATGTAGTCAAAGAAGAATTTTTTAACGAAAATTAACACAATTCGTCCAACCTAACATTAAAACTAAAGAATATAAATCTATCGCAACCCATTAATCGATTAATTAATTGTGTCTTACTTCTTAATTTTACTTAATAACTTTATTATTATCAATGTTTATGTTTTTTATTTGGGTTGCAACAGTCATCTCTGGTCCAAAAATTAATTATTTTTTTTTTATTATTAGTAAGGATTAAACTTGTTCCTTTCGTTCTTGAGTTTTCCAGCCCCATCGGTAGGGCCTCCGCCCCCACCCGGCGAACGTAAACGTGTTGACGTTTGCGCGTACGGTTTATGAGACCGGTGAACCCCCGTCGTTTGAACGGGTGGAGCGGAGGTAACTGATTGCCCCCCACCTCCCGCCAACAACTCAGTTAACCCACCAAGGGCACTCAAACTAGTCAAAGCATTAAGAGCCCCAGGTTTTGTTAATAATTGAGCTAGCGGAATTGCGCTCGCGAGTGGCGAAGCGGCCGTTGTCGCTGTCTGTGCCGATTGGCCGGTGCCCCCTCCCGTTGCGGAGGGCGTACTCTGTGCCTCCAGGTTTGCCTTCTGCAACTCAACGCTGTAACAAGAGAGAGACGCGAGGGGTGAGCGAGAGAAAAGGGTTGGGAAAACGGTTTAAAATCGGTAACCGGATTTGAGTTGATTTTTATAAGATTGGTTTTAATTAAGGGGGGTAAAATATTTATGTAATTTTTAAATGTAACTAAACGGAAAGGAAAAAGTTTCGTTAAATTATTTTTTTTTTTTTGGTGGTAAAACAAATTCAACAACGGGTTGATACTTTGAATATAAAATCGAATTAATTTAATCAAATCAAATAATTACATAAATAAGATTTTATATTCAAAATGGTTTTTGAGAGATGGTGTAGTTTAAAAAATATGGTGCGTAAGGAGATTGAAAAATCGGTGGATATCGAGAGGAGATGGTTATTAAAAACATACTTTTGTTTCTTCTCGATCCTTTAAACAAATTCCTTACACAATATAACAACAACACCTTATTATTCAGTTTACAATCATTAAACAAACTTACAATCTATAAATAAATAAAAAGAATAAAAAAAATAACCATCTAAACCTAAAACTTTTTTTTAACGTACTTTTCAATTTACGAATCTTTCATCTCGTTTCATAAACGTTCAGATGGCATCATGGAATTCATCATGGGAGTCAGAGTTGTTAACGAACATGATTAAACCGGGAGAGATTTATTTAAGAGGAGATATAAATTAATTTCTTTGCAATTGTTTTATTTTTGCCAAAAAGAGAGTTAAACAAATAATCAAATCACTTACCTCATGTTGATTAGGTACTGAGCGAGCGCAACCGAATCCGGATTTCCCGAAATGGTAATCGTACGATCCGTAACGCCACTCTCCCGATCGTCGCAGTTCGAAATTCTGATCATCGCTCCCGAAATCTGTCTAATCTCCGCGATTTTCGTACCACCTTTTCCAATTATACAACCAATCAACTCGTTCGGCACCGTCATCTCGTGTGTTTGTTGATTTGAGTTTTGTTGATTGCGTGTGTTTGAAGTACGAAGTTGAGATCCAGCTAATGCGGCCAAAGCTAAAACAATTAAAAATTTATATTAACATGTAATTTTAAAATGAATTTTAAATGATAAGTCAATACAGCTAAACCTCGATATCACGGACTAATACCTACTGAGAAGGGAGTGTTGGGTATAGCCAAAAGTCCGTTACACAGGGTTCCCCATAATAGACTACCCATTTTATTTTATTAATAAATTCCCTATGAGATAACTAAATAAGTTTTTCTCTGTGGGAATATCTTCTGTAGTCTTTGGGATTTACGTTAATTATTAATCAAGCAGTCGCCTGTCACAAATAAGTTTTAAATTATTAATAAATTATTATTATCGAGATAATATTCGATATTATTTTTAGTTTCGTCATTTTTTTTCAACATCTGTTTGAACTTTCATGGATTACTCAGTCCAACAACGTGTGTTTTGTGTAGAAATTTACATTAGAAGCAATTCGATAGAAGAAGTTAGGCGTGCATTCCGGCGTCAGTTTAATAACAACAAGTTATGGGTTCGTCATTGGCGTGAAAATGGTTCTGTACAAGATTTGAAGAAGCCTGGACGTCGAAGAACAATTCGTACACCAGAAAATATTGAACGAGTTAGAATTGCGTTTACAAGAAGTCCTAAAAGGTCTGCTAATCGACAAAGCCTTATCCTAGAAATAACAAAGGGAAGCTTAGATCGAATTATTCGAAAGGATTTAAAATTTCATCCCTATAAGTACCAAATGGCACAGCACCTTAGCAATCAAGATAGAGAAGCAAGGTTAGCATTTTGTCAAGAATTTTTGGATTTACATCAAGGAGCAATTCACAATCTCCTAATGAGCGACGAAGCAAATTTTTATTTGAACGGCATGGTTAATAAACAGAATTTTAGATACTGGTCAAATGAAAATCCTCGTGAAATCTTTACACAGAACCTCCATAATCCAAAAGTTATTGTGTGGTGTGGAGTAGGATCTTTTGGTATTATTGGTCCATATTTTTTTGAGGATGAAAATAACCGCGCTGTAACAGTAACATCCGAGCGCTACGTAAACATGCTAGAGACATTCCTCATTCCAGAATTAAATAGACAAGGATTACTAAACAATCCCTTACTATTCCAACAAGATGGGGCAACAGCTCATACCGCCAGAAACTCAATGAGGGTTCTGCGAGAAATGTTTAATGGTCGACTCATTTCTCGATTCGGAGATTTGCCTTGGCCTTCGAGGTCCCCCGACTTAACGGCACCCGATTTTTTCCTGTGGGTATATTTAAAAGCCAAAGTGTTTGCGAGTCGTCCAGATACAATTGAGGAACTCAAAGTCAAAATTCGTGAAGAAGTTGAAGGAATAGACGAACGTTTGCTACGCCGTGTAATGAACCACTTTTTATCTAATATTGAAAAATGTGTTGAAGTTGGTGGAGGTCAATTAGACGAAGTGATTTTTAAAAGTTAGAATTAAATTAGCCAAATATTTATAAGTTATCATAAATCCCAAAAAGTTAGCTGTAATTTAGTATAATAAAAAGCTTGTTTTGTTAACTAAAAAAATTTTAATTCAAATTTCAAAATGGGTAGCCTATTATGGGGAATCCTGTATAAAGGTTTTACTGTACCATTCCTTCAAATCACTCCTTAAAATTTTAGTTAACCCCTAAATGATTGTCAAAAAAATAAATTATGAAAATTCGTTACCTGCTGGATTTAAACCGCCAGTATTTGAAGGTGCAAGTCCTCCTAAACCAAGGGCTGCGAGTCCAGCTAATGGGCTTTTACCTAAAGCACTCATCTGCAACAATTAAAAAAAAATCTCCCGTTGAAAATACGGGTAATTTCCGAAAGTTTCTGCTATTGCCAAGATTACTTGGTTTCCTTTACTGTTTAATAACGCGTTGCCCAACGTTGCCCCTCGGCGTCTCTTCACACTCGTCGAATCGGACAATTAATTATCTTATAATTATACAGGCATGCAAGTCATTGAAGCTTGAGACTTTTTCCATCCTCGGAGGAAAAAAAGTATGTACAGGATATCCAAATAAATTACGAAGAAGTTGCAATTTTTGATGTAATATGCAGCATCTTAGCATAAGCAGATCTTTTTTTTATAGAAAAAAATTAATTTATTTAAATTAATTTAATTTATATATTGAAAAAAAAAAAGTTACATAAAGCCATGCAATGAAATACAGCTTATATAATAACAAAAAAAAAACATGCCATGACATAACCTTAAATGTAACTTTAAAAACATTCCAACACACACCATAAATGATTAAGGCTATGACATAACAGGGGCCCTACCATAAAGGGGTTCTCGAAGGTATTAGGGGTCATGCCACGTGGGGCTCCGACCACAAGAAAAAAGGTGGGTGGCCAATTATAGAGTTTCGGCCATCGGTTGACATTATAGGGGTGATGGTCTCTGGGTCTGGGGGGGAGATACGGGCACTGAAACTTACGTCGTGGGCAATGAGATGCGCGGGCGGTAAGGCGGCCTGCAAGTGTCCATTCTTGTTGAGCGGCTCGAGTGACACAAGGGCGGCAGGCGCCTGAGCGGGCGCGACGGCCGCGGCCAGCGGATGGCCGAGGGGCAAGCCGTGTGGGGCGTACATGGGCTGGTGATGGGATACATGGGTACTTACGTCAGCGTGGGCGGGAACGGCGTAGTTGCCTTGGATGGTATAGGCCTGTCCCCCGGCCAGGATCACAGGGCCGCCAACTTGGGGTTTAGGGCGATAAGGGATGGTAGCTCCTTTAGGAGGGGACTGAAAGAATTTAAAAAAATTATCAAAAATCAATATGAAATTAAGCACAGATAATCATTTACCTCAAGCATGACATTGCAAATGTGGAAAATGCATTGCGTGATTGCTTCACCAGTTCCTGATATGGTGACTGCACGTTCCGTTGAGTTTGGAAGCATTTCCGAGGCGACTTGAATCGAGGCTCCAGTTACTTCACGAATTTCCTTGATTTTTGAACCACCTTTCCCGATTAATGAACCGCATTGAGAAGCCGGCACGATGAGTCGGAGAGTAATTGGTGGTCGGGGAACTCCACTACTACCACTATTTATATCCTGGAACTGGGAACACCACTAAGTGGGTTCACCGGAAGATTTTATTAAAATAAGATGACACATAAAAAAATTTTTTAGGTTACGTTTTGTTACGCGTTACAAGTTTTATGCAACAGATGTCGCTTTAACATAAAAATAAATTAAATTACCTCTTCAAACTTCTTGCAGATCAAGGTAAAAGCTTTAAATATAGCGCTGGTTGATCCGGTTACTGTTACAATACGTTCTGGACATGATCCGTCCGATATGTTAATTTTGGCACCTGATTCTTCACGAAAACGTTTTACAATCTCTCCTTTTTTACCAATTATACTTCCTACTTCCTAAAAACATTTAAAAAATCATAAACTAAAGTTAACTTGCATACACTTAAATGAAAACTTAAAGTTAACTTAAATGATTAATGACTTAATATAATATAATTTGTTTGTTTTTTTTTAATAGAAAGAGATATTGTTCACGACAATGACATTGTAATGTATTCACGCTTAGACACGGCAGATAACGCGACAGAGGTTCAGGTAGGAAAACTCACAACTGATGCTTTCTCTCCTACGAAAGGTGTCTAATAGGGATGCTGCCTCTCTCCTACAATATTCAAGATCTATATCAACTCAACCCTAAAACATTGGAAAAAGAAATGCAACCCAATGGGAATATGGATAAGAGACATACATACCATGCTGTTCGCGGACTACCAAATAGTTTTTGCAGACGACAAAGAAGATATGTGGTTAAATAGAGGTATGTTAAATAAACTAGAAGAAGAATACAATAAATGGGGCTTGGAAATGAACAAAGATAAGACCCAATATATGGTAATTGGAGAAAAGGGAAAGGACATACAATTGGAGACTGGCATAATAAAACATGTAAACCAGTACAAATACCTTGGGGTAATTATAAACGAAGACGGAGAGGACAATAAAGATGTAATGAGGAAAGTTGGCAGAGGAAATGCATTCCATTTTATGGAATAACAATCTAACGAAACAAACAAAGAAAAATATTTATAGGGCCATTATAGAACCGTTAATGACGTATGGGTCAGAAGTGTGGATAAGAGACAAAGACATAACTCGAAGACTGCTAGCAGCAGAGATGATGTTTTAGAGAAAATGCTGTGGCATGACCATGCTGGACCGAGTTGAAAATGAGGAAAGAAGAAAAATGACGACACAAAACTCAATAATAGATACTAAAAATGAAAAGCAACTAAAATGATATAGCATCTACGCCGAATGAGTAAACAGAGAATCCCGCTTAAGGTTTGGAACTGGGTGAGAGCAGAAAAAAAATGGATCCAGGATATCAATGAGGAGATGAAGAGGAGAGGACTGGGTGAAGATGATTGGAACGATAAGGAGCGCTGGCGGTGAATGCAAGAAGCGGCAATAAAAAAAAGCTGAAAATACTCGCCAAATAAAATAGAAGATGTTGTTAATGTTATAAAAAAAGTTGCTAAGCAACCCCATACTACCCAAAAATTGGTAATAAATTAAAACTTTTGGTGAAAAACAATTTTGATAAATTTTAATGAAATATTAAAACTTAATGTATGTAAATAAGTAATTTTTAATATCTAAAAATAACGAAAAGTTTTATTTATACCAACTCTGACAAAAACAAGTTTTCGTCGTTGGTGCAGTCATAGATTTAAATTTATAACCAACCTATTGTTGTTCGAAACAAAAAAACACGACTAATGAAGAGGCGGTGGGACAAATGAGGCGCATACTAGAAAAATAATTAGCGTTTTATTTTGGTAATTAATGTAACACAAGTACCAGAAATAAGCGGGAAATAAAACCATGTAACAGCTGCTAGAAAGATTGGCCAACCTGGCTCACAACCGAAGACTATTTCGATCTAATTGTTAATTTATCGTTTCCCGGTCGATCTATTTCTTGGTATTTTCTTACCCAATCATTTAAAAAATAATAATCAAACTTAATTTACTTATTTTAATCATTTTTTATTTTAGAATGAAACGAAAAAGATTTCATAAACGCTTTTAAACGTCATATTAAGGTGCGTTTGTAGTATTGGGAGATGACGTCGATGCATTTCCGTTTTGTTTGGGTCATAAAACAGTCTGGACCGGCCCCAAATTGGCGTCCATATCGTCTGGAAAATTCGTTTTTGGCAGGCGAACAAAATTCCCGAAATCAAAATACGTGACGATTTCGAAATTACCCGTCAAGGCCAAAACAACTAATTTCACCGATTTAACCTAAAAATAAACCACCGTAAGATGACCGAAAAGGAAAAGAACGACGCACAAATTCTTCAGACGTCTTTATTGTCACGGCATCTAATTTAATCTAGATCGCGACATTTTACGATCTTTGCAATAAATTTTAGTTGTCAATGTCATTTGGTAATTGAAATAGCGCCATCTTTTTGAGAATTGGGGGCAAAAACTCAATTAAAATAATTTTATAGCTTTACTGGAACTTCTTTTGTTGCTAAACGTCCAACCGATCACTTTCTAATCTGGGTGCCAATCCAAGGTTGTAATCAACTAGACATGTTGGCCATCATATCTGGCACAAAATGTGACAAAGATTATTTCAAACAGTGATTCCATTTAATGTTTCATTTCAGCACGGAAAGTTTTATCGGCATCTAGTTCCAAGAGCAAAAGAATTTTTTAAATACAGAATACTAAATTGCAATTTATAACGAAATTTGTCTATCATCTTCCTCTTGGTTTATGCTGCAGTGCTAATTTTGGTATTCTGTCATCCTGCATTCTCTGCATGTGGTCCATCCGTTTCTCTTTGTATTCCTTGATTTTGTTAACTGCGAAAATTTCCAGTTCCTCTCTAATATCTTCGTTTCTGTTATGAACCAATCTGGTCCTTTTTCCTTGTCACCCATGCTTCGCAGTCATACATCAGGGTGGGTATCCCTATTGTCTTATAAATTTTCATTTGAATATCCTTCCTGCATTTATTACCCAAAGTTCGTCGAATAGTTCAACACATTCTTATGAAGATTGTCAGTTTGTGATGTATGTCCTTATCATGTTCATAGGTAACGGTCGCATCCTAGGTATTTAAAGTGGCTGATCTGTTCTAAGAGAGCGTTATCAATGTATATCTTAATTCTTATTGGTTCATGTCCTATGAATGCCATCGTTTTTATTTTTGTCTTAGAGATTCCGCGTGTGATAAGCACAACGCCAACTCTAGTAATGGATGTTCTGCTTGGTCTATCTCCTTTTCATTTACTAGTAAACTTATGTAAATATAGAGATTTCACAGTTGTACTCTACTTATGCTATTGATCGTCTATGAAGAGTAGTGTTTTCAGAATGTTGTTATGGTGTAGGCGAATGCCATTTGAAACTTGATTGATCCATTTTTCGATTAGATCATCCATGTACAAATTGAATAAAAGCAGTTACAGACAACAGCCTTGTCTTACTCCTTGATTAATGTAGATCAAATCCAAGTATTTCAGTCTATCAATGACAATCTTAGTGTAATCAATGAATATGATGTGAGTTTCTATGTTTATGTAACACACTTTAGAAGTTTTGTTTTCAGCCTACTTGATTTAATAAAAACATTAAAATATTTTGGAAAGTTTAACAGCAAAATAAATCATGTTTGGATTCATTTTAAAGGGTTTTTCATAAAGTTTATAAATATCGTAAAAATGTTTGATTACTCTTTTGTTTTAATACATGCTAAATTATAACCTCACTTTTTTATTTTTATTTCTTTTCCAAATGTCATTTTGATAAAGATCCATAAATAAAATGAATCTTAATTTTAACTGTACAATAAAATAAATCCCTAACTAAAATGTTGTTAAAATATAAATAAACACTCGGAGATTATCCTATTAGAATTAGTCTCAAGTTTACATAATTCTAATTAGATTACTTGCACATTTAAGGTTTCCCGTTGTAACTAGATTTCATACAGAAAACCAACAATTCTTACCTTTCCTTGCATGATAAGCCTGATGGTGAGGGTAATATTCGGATCGTCGTTCATCATGGGTTTATCATCCAAATCCATAACCTATACAATGTTGACTGTAGGGATCTCCTTGGGCTCGGGGAGGTGTAGGGTCAGATCTATAATAAAAAAAAAAATTAAATAAAAAAAATTTTAAACAAACAATAACATAGTTGGTTATGAAAATAACAAATGAAATGTGTAGACGCGGCTAACTACAATCATTTTTTTAATAGCTCATCTCGGGTCAAATGCCTTTAGATTTTAAAGCGTACCGTTATAAGGACGCCAATAACCTCGTCCGAGTAATGTCGTAAAAAAATACCTAAGGGATTACGGTTTGAGGTTATACGTTGATGTTTAACGATTTCGGATAAATCCCGCCTAAAAAATCTAGTCGGCTACTTACCGGAAGGTTGTTTAAAGAAAAAATAAACACACTACAACCGCTTCCGACGCTTGCTTGATGTGCACATGAACCGCTTCAAGCGACAACGCTACCAACTTAAATACTAAAATGGACTAAAATCCCTAGAAATTCCTAAAATATTTGTTCCATTCCTTTTTTTGTGACTAATAACATTAAATAAAAACTTTTTTAACTTAATAATATATTTTTTAAATGGAAAAATTAAATAAAGTTCGTTTGAATTTGGTGTGTACCTTTTAGGATGGGTGATGATACAGGAATAAACTTACTGTGCTCGGTAATTTCATGACGTAGTATCGAGCTAATTAATAAATCTAATTATGTTCAGCTTCGATACCCGGGGTTCCGGATTTACTCGATCCGTACATTTCATAAATTTTTGTAACTATTAATCGATAATTAAATATTGCGATAATATGTTGAGTTAATAAAGTATTACGATAATAAAATACACATTAATTACGATTAAAAGTTCAAAACAAACCGATTTAAACCTCAAATTTTGTTTTTATAAATAAAAATTAAATTTTAAATTGAAATAAATAATTTTTTTTAAATTTATACAACTCCATCTAACAGTGGTCGGTAAAAACGTTCATTGTGAAATCCGATTCCGGTCAATCAATTTATTCGTCGCGACGCCGTCTGTCGAGCCGTACCGATCCAGACACGTTTAATCTACATATTCGGGGACGCGCACACTGCTGGATATCGGGGATTTCGGGGCAATTTTCGCGGATTACCAGCTTTCGTGCTGCGGATTTCCGATAGATGGCGGCACGACAAGCTCGATTTTACATCCCCTATTCAAGGGTTGGATTGACGGGATCCCCGATACTATCTATCTTTTTAGTCGATTATCGGGAACTGCATTTGATGGATTTTTGACAATTTTACCCGTTAAAATTGTTAAAGCAAAAAATAAAATTTAGGTAACTACTTTATCGACATTTAATTATTGTCAAAGTTGTTAAACATTAGAAATAAACATTTCATATTTTAATCATTTTTTTTTGGTTTTCTAGAAATGTAGAAGAATTTAATTAGTTTAATCCACAAAAAAAAGGAATTGTTATGTTTGTATTCATAGCCGGATATAGAAGTTTTCAAATTTCATTTTCCAAATAGCAAACGATTTCGTGTGTACATCAAGGGTCGTCTGGAACATTCCCGATATTCCCTTTATTAAATTCCAAACGTACCATCGAATTGTGAACTGGTTATAGTATGTAACATTGAGCATTGTAAACGTATCTTTTCGCCCGGATTTAGAGCCGTACATCAACTGGAGTTAACGGGATACTCACTAGGGGTGGAACAGTGTCGTTACCGGCAGCTTTGTATTCCATTAAAATCGGATTACTGCAGTGTTTGTATTTCATTTCTATCAAGTAGACAAAAGTTTTTTTTATACTTTCTATAATTCTATGGACTCAAATTCAATGGATTTGTTGATCACGCTTTATACATTTTTCTATTTTAGGAGAAATTGGAGAATATAAATTAAATTTTAGAAATCATTGTTAATTTAGTTAGATGAATCACATGTTTGGATGGGAATAGGAGCCTCATGGGACAAGACAGGTCGGTTATTACGTCACGGGAACCATATACACACTCCGTTTCCCTATTCAATTAGGTAATGTAATAGTACTCCGCCGTCGCTGAACCGCTCTGCTGTTACCGTATGTTTGTCGAAAATTAAATTACGACAACTTGACACAGTCACTTTTCAGATTCGGTTAAAATTTAACGATTTTGAAAGTTCGTGGTGGGATAAAAAATGTGCCACTCGAAAACCGGTTGGAACAAGTTCAGAGGCTGTATTCAAAGTGGAGAGACTACTTGATACGAAGCCCTGCTTGCTGGGGAGTTCTGAATTCCTTAACAAGCAATTTCTATCGAAACCCCTTGCGTCGGGACCCTAGAAATGCATATTAGGCAAGATCACTCCTTCCAATCCCCAAATTGAGGTTATGGACTAAAATCGAAATATTACGTGATAATCGTTGAGCACTTGACGTTTCAAATTTTAATAAATTTGATATTTTTGAAAAACATGTAATTACATCCGCTTTTCCTATTTCGCTGTAATTTTTTTTCCATGCAAAAAGCTAAAGTTACCTCCCGGAATGTAGTAATTTCAATTACGAACTCCGAAGGGACGGGTAAAAGAGGAAAGGTTGCTCGCTTCTCGTTCAAAATCCCAATAATATTCGTAAAGCGAGGCTTTTTGAAGTGCTCCGTACAACCTTCTAGAAAAGAGAGTTCCAGATTTACTTTTCTAACCTGATATTGCGATTTTACAACGTTGGAAAATGGCTCGAGAAATTTAGTGTCAAGCTTAAAAAGCTCGCACAATCCGAGAGAGGATATAAATTAACAACTTTTGTTGCTAATGGTAAAGTTGACACCACGAAGGATTTTAAGTAGGTCACGTTTTAATGTAATTGTTGAAGTTTTTAATGACTAATAACGAAAAAAGGATTTATTATAGTCTCAGGAAATAAAATATAAAATTTATAATTATTAAATGGTAGTTTGTTGTATAAAAAGACTAATTAGAAACCATTTAGGCTCCCTTTATGCAGTTAAAATGAAAAACCATGGGTTGAGTTGGGTTTGATGTTTCAATTTTAATCAAATAAAATTTTTATCACGTTCCATCAATTTTTAGTTCATTTTTCTTCAATTCTTCATCAATTTCTATTTAATTCATCAATTTTCATTTAGTTTAATGAATTTTAAATCAATTTATATCAAAGTTTATGAGATCATTAAATTTTTGATGGTTTTAACTCGTTATGAATACATTTTTTGACAATTCCACTTGTTATATTCAATTATCAGTTTCTATTTTTAACAAATCCACCAATTCCTATTCTATTTAGTCAATTTTCATCAATTTCAATCCACATTCATAGTTTGTGTCAATTTCCACTATTGTCAATCAATTTTTAGTATATTGGAATCAATTCTCTATCGGTTACACCCAATTTCCAATCATTTTAGCCCGTTTTAAGTCCAGTTCAATAATTTTGAATCAATTTCTAATCAAATTAAGTTGAATTTAGTTGATTTAATCCCATTTTTATTAATTGCAATCGATTTTATTCCTAGTTAATGTGTATGTCCTAGTAACGACTAATACTAAGATAATATAAATTAATAATTTTTTAATACATTTTCGTTATTATTGAACAATATTAATGAACTCAAATGATATGAAGTATATATATTATTATTTGTATTTCATTTAAACATTTTTATTAATAAACTAGCCCGTACTAGCGCGTACTATGCGCGGGTTGCTACGCCACCAACTAAAATAAATTTGAAGGAAAGGCATTACGCAAATATTCAATTCATTTTGAGTCATTTTATTGATTTTGAAGAAATCAATAAAATGACTCCTCTAGAAACCTTCGTGGGCTCATGCACAACAACTTTGCTAAAGATCATCACATGATCAAATGCATAGTTTACTATTCTATAAAGGACATACAGACAAACATTCATTTTTATATAAACAGATAAACTTAATTTTTGTAACAATAATTTCTTAAATCATCAAAGTTTCTTTTAAATAACGATTTATTACGTTGCATAATCATTTAGTGATTTTAGTCATTCAGTGATTAATGCTAGATACCAGATTGTACTGCCTGAACGGCAGTGCTGAATCGAAAACACATGGATCAAAATCGCCTGAAGGGGTCGGTTCGGCTTGAAAAAGCAAGCTTACAGCTTGGGTACGTACTGTACTGTATACTAGCGGAAATATTTGTTATTGATATAGGTGCTAGAATCCTTCTTGAGAGAGGGGTGAAGAACGTGACACGATTTTGTCCATCATTTTGTAAATCATGTACGATTTTTGGTCGTGAAAACGGTGTCGGCTCTGGTTAATGACTGTAAAAGAACTTTAAACACACTGAGTTTCTAACAGAGTTTCTCTGATCTAGGTCCCAGGTCACTCTGGGGTTGCAGGCAATAAAACAGTAGATGAGCTAGCACGAGAGGGCAGCGCTACAGCGTTTGTGGGGCCAGAGCCAGCAGTTGGTATATCATTTGTGATGGCCAAACATAGGATTGGACTGTCAGCTGAGGAGAGACTTTGCCTACGGTGAACTAGTTCTCCTGGAATGAGACGCGCAAAGTTGTTTATCAATATCGCCACTGTCAAACCCGAGAATATTTTAAGACTTGCTCGTAGCAGCATTAAAGTTCTAATGGGCACTGCTGAAACACACATCAACATGTTTTGTCTAGCCGATGATGGGTGCTGATGAATGTTGACTATGTGCGGAGGACGAGGAGACGGTTGAGACGGTTTTTTTAAGGTTCGTTGGTCCGCTTACCCGATATATAAAATATATAATGTAATGTAAGATTGGAAAAATGTTTTCTTTGAAAACGCATCATATAAGAGATTATGTTTCCATAATATACATTAATAATATTTTCTTTCCAAGTTTATATCAACATTTATTTCAACTCGGTTACATTACAACAATAAATTTGAATAAATGCTTTTAATCTCGGTTTCCCTCTAGGGATCTTGTTCTCTCCGTACTCTCTGTCTCTTCCTGTATTCTCTTTTTCTACACCTGCGACTTTGAAATTAAATTAGGTTACGAGGGCATTATCTTGTCGCAATATTTCATTCTTACGGACTTCTACCCGAGTTATTGTTCATTAAAGTCACGTTTTAGTAAAAATTGTAGCCCTTTTTTATGATCATTTTTACTTCCAGTTCTTTTTTTACTTTTTAATAGAGTTTGTGAGGGTAGAGCTTTTTTTCTTTTATCGTGACGTGTTCAAGCCGCCGGAAACCAACCAGATAGCATTCAATTCTTCCTCTCTCGTAAGTATACCGAGATAGACCGGAAAATTTCAGACGTGGATTCAATCTGAGTGAGATAAATGTCTCGATGGAAACCTTTTCGGGGGAGAGAAATGATCGATCTCTACTTGTAAAAATTTATTTTCCATCAAACAAACTTTTTGATAGAATTGACACATGATTTGATGATGGATTTGATCGATTTTTATCTTAATAAATTAATTTAAAAAATTTTGCAAATTTTTAGTTTATATTACATGAATATAATTTCCTTGTCCATCGTTCCGGACCGTGAATAGAAGAACAACTTCAATATTATCTTAGTTTCTCCAGGTGCTGAGTTAGAACAATCGACCTCGCTAACGTCAATAGATTCCAACTTACTTTTCAAGTTGAAAGTTTCACGAGCATAAAGTTCACTTCTTTTCATAATTAACTTCAACCTTTAGTTTCCCTTTTTTAATCGCTTTGTGATCTTATTATCTGTTGAGATCTACTCCAACGAAAAAGATACTAAAAAAACAGAATGCTTCGTTTAATTAAACGAGAAGTAACTAAAGCTTTTTGTTTTCTTTTTGAGTTATTGAAAAGCTTGCTAATTTTTCTAAATCGACATATTGTGATTAATTCTCCACTGATTTTTAACCCATCAACGTTTCAAAACCAAATGGTTCGTACAATGATAAAGAGTTAAACTTTTTGAAGTTAAAATAAATTAATATTTATAAAAATTGAAATAGACTATAACAATTTTATTACTTGATAAAGTGGGTGATGTTTAACGTCGGAAAATCTCCCCCCAGCATCATATGCACCCCGACATATCAACTTCCACGTTTCAGCCGATGGGATGGCGTCCTAATTCCGACGTTGCGAGTCAGAAAACGTAATTAATACCGAGCCGGAACGAAGTGGAGAGAACGGGGATGAATAGACGATCCAGGTAACCGACGCTCGAGGCAGGTTTCAACCTGTCACCGTGTCACCGGAAGTCCTCTTTCACCCCTCAACGTTTCCACCCCTTTCCCATCTCCCTCTCTCGCTACACTAGCTATTTATCAGTATTGTACCAATAATATCGATTTATCCGAACGAGTATTTGCGGTGGATGTTTCTGACATAGAGATAACTTTTTGTGGAGTCCATTGAAATTTGAAATGAAAATTGAAAAAGTCCGCGGTGAGATTGAAGTTAATTATTTTGTCTTTTATGTTATAAAGGGTGAAATTGTCGTATAATAAGCTGTTATCTCAAGAGGCTAAGTCTGGGAATAATCTACATACACCTACACACCTGGTTCTATGTATCCCTAATGCACAACCCCTATAACAAGCCTGTGTAGGTATACCGAGTACGCCGCGTTAATTATTTAACCAATTACGGGCGACATCTATGCGTCTCCTATATAACTACGTAACCTCGACGGTAAAGTTAATTTCAGGTTTCAAACTAAGTTTGTACACGCCCTATTTAGTTTTTTTTTGTGAATTTATTATTATTATGGACAAGTGTGACCTCAATTGTTTATTATGCAAAACTTCGTTGTGTTAAATTAGTGTTAGTTCTAGATAGTAACGGTGCTAGTGTAAAAGTAGAACTAACACTAGACCTAGAATTCAGGTAGCCGTGCGGCTACCCAAAGTGTTTTTTAAAATCTATCACTTTAAAAACAATTTAAGTATACAAGGTCAGTCAAAATGTTATAACGAAACAAAGTTACGTTTTCGAGTTAGGGTAATTTCACTGTATTTTAATTAACTTTATAGTTGATTTGAAAAATTTCGATGAGTTTTAAAGTGACCAAGAAGGAATGTAATCACCTGAAAAAGTATCACAGAATTCGTTTTACGCTGGAAAATATCTTGTCACTCTGAGAGATGGTGGTCTTTTTCACCGATTCGGTCCATTTCCGAAACCCATCTCGCAGAGAAGTAGATCCGATCGATTTAGATAGCAAGTCGCGACGTTCTCAAAGATATCGGTATTAAATTAATTGATTTTTCGGTGTACAAATAATCCCCATTTCTCGATTGTAACAAAAAAAAAAAAAAAAAAAAAAAAAAAAAGATTTTTTGGTGAATTTTTAAATTTGTTTTAATAAATAATGAGGGTAGGTACGGTTCTGGTTTTTTAGGATGATGGTCTAAATGGGACGACCTACGGAGAGTTGGGGGTTATTAAATTTCGCTTTGCAAGCGAAAACGGGGGTTGCGTCGTCGTCGGTACCATTCTAAATGGAATTATAATATCGCAGTTACAGTCAGGGGGGTATTAAGTTCGAATTACATGGATTAAGGGCTCGTAATTTCGTTTTGTCAGCGGCGTGTGAGGATATTTACGTTGAGACGTAAAACGGAGTTAATGTCGCATTGCACTTGACAGCGAAAGTAGATACTACTAGAGGATTCGACGTAAAATCCGGAAATGACGTTCGGGGAGCGGGATTAAATTCTGACACGTCCATAAATATCAAAATAATCTTTATATTCTCATCGTTTCCCGTTACCTCCCGCTCTGCGGTTCTATTGGGAGGGTAGATTTTCGTGGAATGTAGCAAGAACCGAACGGAAACTGGCAAATTGAAAACGAACCCGATAAAATCGTTCATTTCCCGGTAGGCGGCGCTAAAGATAAAACCGATAAGCGACAACAGCTTTTTTAAATTGCATCAGAAATTAAAATGAAAAACTTTTTGATTTAAGCTTTCGACTTCGTCCAATCTGTGCGTCTTTAAACATGTAAAGCTAAAGTTTCTAATGCGACAGCTTTCCAACCCACCCTCATCCCATAATGGTGGTG